AAAAAAAAACTGTTGTCAAGGACGTTTGGAAATTCTAGAAATAATATATTATTACTGATCAAGCTTGTAAGGTTTTATTTACACATGCTAGCCAAGTAGCCTTACACTTTTTATATAATATGATAAATGATTCTATAATTAAACATTTTTTGTTGTAATTTACTTAAGTAATTTAAGACGTACTTGTATTTGTCATCGCTTTCTACATATATTATATTCTTAACAACATTTTCGATTCTGGAAAATATCAGTTTTTCTATTTTGGATCTTTGGGAAATTGTGAAAACTTCAAAAGTTCAACATAACAATACAACAATCAGCTTTTTCATTGCATTTAGTTTTAGTGACAAACATATAATAATAACAGGTCCAACTGTTGTTAAGTGGCGTCTGCAGCTCGTGGGCACTTGCAACCAACTTAAAAATGAATGGAGCGTTGCAGTCGCTGAGGACTGAAATAGAATGTTGGCGAGGCAGTCCATACTCCTCAGCAGTGATAACGTATCTGTAGGCTTCTTTGTTTGAAGTTGGCTGCAGGGGCAGGGGTTCATGGCCTGCCACTTACATTTCAGTTTTATTAAAATAAAATCTAACAGCCTGTAATTATACTGGTTCTCCATAACCTTCAAGTATTTAGCACAAAGCATTGCTACTTGGGTAGAAGTATGTAAAACCTATCGTATCACCTTACCTCTCCAGTGGTCTTTTTTTAATAATAAATTAAAGTTACTGTGTGGTGGTGGAGTAAAATAATCCATTACCACATTTTGTCTCGTGGATGATGGGAAATTATGGAACATGTCAAATAGATCACATGCTTCCGATAGATGGCGGTGAAACGTCGTCCACGTCACACATTTAGCACTCAGTCCAGAGAAGGACAGCAGAATCAAACGGTGATAGGGGGAAGTCCCCTAAGCCCGGACTGCTCCTAAAGCCGGACAGAATCTGAATCAGTGCGAAAAAGCGCGCCAATTTGTTGCTTGAGTCGTGGTTAGAAAGCATTTCCCAAGTGAAGTGTGGGGGGAGCGTGTCAATAGTTAGTGCTGACTCGTTCGACGTGGAGCGTGTAGCAAATTTTAAGGTAAGTAAAAATTTTGTTCGAAGTAATTTTTTGGGTTCTGTAAACAGTATTTAAAGTATGGGATGATAATCACTGTTATTAATTATTATTGCTATTGTACTAATCTGATATAACCCAGGTGTTTTTTTAAGATTCATAACACATAATGTGAATGAGAATTTTTCTTGTATGTACCTAAGGGTCCCTAAGTTCGGACACTCTCAAAGTCCCCTAATACCGGACAGTTTTACAGTAAGTTTATTTTTGTTGTAGTTATTATTTTTGTGTTTTGTTTTTCAGATTCAACATGGACAAACCCAAACCGAGTTGTGGGAATACCCCCAAACATGAAATATTGAAAAAAGCTCAGTTAGCTACATTTGTGATTTTTGCAGGTTGTACAATGAAAGTTTTGTAATTTTTTAGAAACCGTTCCTAATTATGACCAAAGTTAATTACAATTAAGAATAGTTTTCTTTATAAACAGCTGATTTGATCAATTTTAATAGATATTCTTACGAATAATTTGTTAAAATAATGTTTAGGTTTAAAATTGAACGAAAAGTTGGCTGTCCGTCATTAGGGGACCTTTTTAAAAACGTCCTTTTTTCTATGTTAAATGTTCCTTAGTACCTACTATATTTAAAGTAAATTTGAGGCTGTTGATATATCTGTGTTGACTAAATATATAGTTGTGAACTTATTAAAGTGAAATAAAAAAATGAGACTATTATACGTTCTTTTTTATTTTTATTGTTCCTTAAGTGTCCGGTCTCGGGGACCTCCCCCTATGTGTAAGTAATCTCCAATCAGCCTGCCAAGTGTTATACTTACAGCACATCCTCATTACTATGGTCACAGCTTAAAGACCTTACAGTTGGGAAACGAATGTACTTGTGCAGATCAACGGTGCGGGCTTTGCAAGGCTGCCGACCTTGTGCTAGAATCAGTGAAGTGCGTTCACTGATTCTGAACGACAATACATGTGCTTGGCGCGAGCGTGTCATACTTATTACTATACTTATTTAACTTATTTTGAGTGCAGTTTTCGAAACATATCTATAATGGCAAATTACTGTTATCGTTATATCGAGTTACTAAGAAAAGTTGAATTCAAATGACGACCATGCTTATGTTTTCCTTAATTTTTTTTTTCTCATAAATTGTTAATCCGAATGCGAATAGACTACATAATTAAATTTAATAATCGAAAACTGAAAACATCTATAAAAAGAAAGTGTCACTGAAATATTTGGCTTTAAATGTGTTTTCTTGTCATAATAGAAATGATCGTTTTCAATAAATGTTTTGAACTTAATAAGTATTACATAATGTTAATAAATGATGATGAATATATGTCTGGTACATGGCACTAGCGCCATCTGTTAGACATCAACTGTGGCGCGCAACAGTGTTATAATATCCAAAATTATTTTTTTTCCATTTTTGTGACCCGTAGCATACACACTGGCCGCGTAAATACCTACGCGGGCGGCGGCAATCAATGGCGTTTTACAACTGTGTAGCAGTGGACTGATTTTTTTATGGCAGCGAGGCAAACGAGTATACGGGGCTCACTTGATGGTGATGATTATGATTATGGCCTGATGAAATAAAAAGTATGAAGAATAAATATTATTTGAAATAACCATAAATTAAATTTTACAAAACGAAGTTTTGAATTATAGTTCCTTTTACTAAGGTTCGTTTTGTTTTGTATGCGAACTAAAATCGAAATATTAATTTAATTTAAAACTTATACATTTATTTTCAGAAACATCCAAATAAAAAGAAAAACATTCGTTTTGATGTCTCTACAGAAGCACTTACGGCAAAGGAATCGGGCAGTGGAATGATATCATAATATAGTATTGGCTTAGTATTCCTTTGAATCGCTAATTATTTTAATCAAAACTCTCGTCATGGCAAATATGACGTCAATTGGCTATGTTGTGTAGTTCTTTCTATGATTGTAAATTTATTAAAAGATGAAAGAGAAATGTCATTACCTTTGTTCGCAATTTGAAAAAAGATTGCAGCAAATATTACTCTGGTAAGTGTGAATAATTTTATTCATTTCAAAATATATAAATTAATTTTTATGATTTGGCAAATATTGTATTAAATTTTATTGAGGTTGATAATAAGAGTTTGAGTAATTTTTTTATTAAAAATTGCTAAATTTAAAGATGATTTTTAAAATTGGAGCATCGCTGACTGTTAATGGGGCCTGCTCACTTCACTTGCTTGGATCGCGCGACACGATTAAAACAGTTCATGTATTCGAGGTCTGTTTATTTTTTTATGTACAACTTATCTTACAGTAACATAGTTAGGTGAATTAGATGATATACAATTCCTACGGTACTATCACTAGTCACTTCGAAACAAGAAATATATGATTCAACTTCCTGTATGTTAAAATAAAATGAATGAAAATATAATATTTTAATACCAAAAAGTTTTTATTACGTCCTGACTCTTCTTACCGTAACACCTTACCATCGTTTGTCTTGTAGTCTTAATTTTATCCCGTAGATGAATAAACTTAAAGTGCCTCTCTGTTTTTAGAAAGTTTTATCATTTTTGGATTTCAGTAGTAATTCTAAGGGTAAGGTGGAGGTTCATACTAATTTATTTTGACACCTAAAGTCCAACCCAATATTGATCGCAAGCCATGTTTTTAAAAGTAAATAATACTCACCGATTATTTCTTGGTTCGTAAAATTCCCATTTCTGGGAAGAATCAGCTCGAAACTTTGGCTTCATCATAAAAAAAGTATCTTATATTGGTATATATAAGATACTTTTTTTTAATGATTACTATAGGTATAGTCCAGCAGTGGACTTTCATTAGTTGATAGTGACGATAATGACGACTGATTTGATAAGTTGCTCGGATCGTGAGCCTTGTTTTTACCAGGCGGTCCCATAATGAACTGGCCTGATATAGTTCAACGCGACATGTCGCTACATGTTGTGTTTCATTAAATAGTACATTTATCGTGCACTTAATATAAGAAACATGCATCGACATGAAATGCTTAGTCTTAGTTTAACGGGCATTTGAATAACGAGAGTCGCGTATTTTTTCAAAATGTCGAAAACTGATCGAAGTGTCATAAAGTTTCTGTTTAAAGAAGGTTTATCCCCTGCCCAAATAAAAGAACGATTGAATGGCGTGTATAAGGAGTCTGCCCCCTCCTATAGAACAGTGAAAAATTGGGTGAAAGAGTTTCGCCTCGGCAGAGAAACCGTCGAAGACTTTGGCCACGACGGTCGACCTGTGGAAGTGCTCACTCCCGAACGATTGCTCTTATCGAAGAGGAGGTTCTGAGTGACCGCCGTTTGAAGATTAGAGAAATTGCAGCAAAGCTTGGGCTCTCTAAAAGTACCGTTCATCGCGCGATCCATGAACATCTTCACATGAAAAAAGTGCGTGCAAGATGGGTACCGAAACTTCTTTCAGCGGTACAGAGACAGGAAAGAGTGCGCTGCGCTTCGGAGTTTTTGGATCTTTGTGGCGAAAATCCAAAGACTGTGATCGAGCGGCTAGTGACTGGTGATGAAACTATGATCTTGTATTATGATCCACAAAGCAAGCGTGGTAGAGCCATGCTGCAATTATATTAGTAGTATAGTTGTAGCACGAATGGGTCGGCTCGACCGGGGAAGGACCACGCTCTCACAGAATACCAGCGTGAAATAGTAGCTTAATGCTGCTGTATTTCGTATGGTGAGTGTAGAGAACCGGAGACCCTTTTTTACTGGAAATGAGGCATTCCATCTCAGTCCTCACGGGTGACAACGCATTTGCATTTTGATTTGTAATGGAAGATAGATGTAGATGTCTATGGGCCGCAGCAACCACTTACCATCAGGTGGACTGTGTGCTCGTTTGTCGCCCTATCCTATAAAAAAAAAAAAGCGCGAGTCAATGGAATGGCGTTATAAGGGTAAAAAGCCCCCTAGAAAGGCAAAGGTGCAACAATCGACTAAAAAACTGATGTGCACAATATTTTGGGATTTTCAAGGCATTTTGATGGTGGATTTTAAAGAACGTAATACAATCGTGAACGGCGAATATTATGCTTCTTTAATATATAAATTACGAGACAAGATAAAGGAAAAACGAAGAGGCAAGCTGTCTAAAGGTGTCCTGTTGCTCCATGACAATGCCCCTGTTCATACCGCTGGTGTTTCGAAGGATGCAGTTCGTCAATGCGGGTTCACAGAAGTTCAACATCCACCTTACAGTCCAGACATGGCCCCGTCCGACTATTATTTATTTCCAAATTTAAAGCGGGACTAGAGGAAGAAAATTTTCAAACGATGAAGAGTTGCAGGCGGCCGTCTTCAGTCATTTTGAGGATAAAAAATGTGATTATTTTTATAAATGTTTAGAGATGTTGATTCACAGATGTCAGAAGTGTGTTAGTATTCATGGTGATTATATTGAAAAATAAAATTGGTATCGTTTCATTTCCTTCATTGGTTCATAGTTAGGCCAATTCATTATGGGACCGCCTACGTATTTACATATGTATCCGTATTGGACTGTACCAACTACAATATTACTTGAGGCTGCCCTAATGAGAGTGGATAAGTGGATATAATGTCGTGTAAAAAAGGGAAAGACTAGAAAAAGACTGCAAAAAGCAGTGTGTAAAGTGCAGTATTTCTATCTGTAGCTAGTGTGCACGCACACTAGCACATTAAATTTTAGTTCCAAAATTTTATAGGTCGGTTAACTAAAGCTGGCATGTACAACACACATATTGAGCTTGTGAGAGTCTGAATAAGCGCACGGCATGACATCGCACTGTATACGCTACATAAAAAGTCTCTCCAGATAGAAAAACTTCATGACGCACTCAGCTAGGCTCATGAGCGTTATAGTGCGCACTCACATGGGCTTTGCCAGTGCATTACGTTGTAGTACCGTCACAGTTTAAAGACCTTACAGTTGGGAAACGAATGTTTTTTATAGGTTAAGGGTGACAAACGATCACACCGTCTACCTGATGGTAAGTGGTTGCTGTGGCCCATTGACAGCTACATCTATCCTTGATTACGAATCAAAATTCAGGTGCGGTATCACCTCTGAGGACCAAGATGGAATGCTTTTGTTTCCAGTAAAATGGGTCTCCGGTTCTCTACACTCACCATACGAAGCACAGCAGCGTTGAGATGCTATTTTACGCTGGTATGCTGTGAGAGCGTGGTCCTTCCCAGGTCGAGCCGACCCACTCGTGCTGCTATATTACTAATATAGCTGCAACATGGCTCTACCATGTAAAATGTACTTGTGCAGAGCAACGGTGGACGTACTGCTGGGTAGGTGGCGGGCCGACCCGGGCTAGAAACTTCAAGGGACAAGGCCCCAGAAATTACAGTGGAACTTCTGAAAGCGGGTGGAAAACCGGTGCTAGAAGATCTTCAGAAGCTCTTTAATTCCGTCCGCCATAGTTGGACTACTGCGTGAAGCAGAAGCCGGTTTCCGCAAAGGCTTCAGTACCATAGACCATATACATACCCTGCGGCAGATAGTACAGAAGACCGAAGAGTACAATCTGGCACTTTGTCTGGCGTATGTAGACTATGAGAAAGCCTTTGATTTCGTTGAAATTTGGGCGGTGCTACAGTCTCTTCAGCGATGCCAAGTTTAATGTCGGTATATCGAGGTGCTGAAGTGTTTGTACAGTAGGGCTACGATGGCTGTCCGAGTACAGAACCAGAGTTCGAAACCTATCCAACTGCAGAGAGGTGTAAGACAAGGGTGACGTTACATGCCCGAAACTCTTCACCGCTGCATTGGAAAACGTTTTCATGCTACTGGACTGGAAAGGATACGGTATTAACATCAATGGCGAGTACATCACTCACCTTCGATTTGCCGACGATATAGTCCTTATGGCAGAATCGCTGGAGGACCTTAGCACTATGCTCATGTGTTTTGTAGCATACCTTGGGAGATGTCTATTTTCAGCAGTGGACATGTGAAGGGTTGTAATGATGATGATGATGATCCATCCATCCATTACAGCATGTAAAAGCATATCTACTGCTGAACATAGGCCTCCCTAATAGATTTCTTCATAGGAGGGATTTTGCTATAGTTGCCAAACTGTGGTTGCCAACACGCAGTTTTTTTTATAATTTTGAGTTGTTGTCAGGATCACGCTTCTGCCCGTCTCCTGCTTTGTTTCCTTTACATTGATGATGATTTTTATGAGTAAAGCCGATAATGTTTGTTTCTAAATTGAGTTTCATATTAGAGGTAGAGAGAGAGAGACAGATTAGATATAATGGTAGGAAATAAAAAAATCTTCAAACAATGCATGATTTTATTCCGATCATTAATTAAATACACAATTGTAATTAATAAGTCACAGTGATAAATGTACTGTAAGATAGTAAAATTAAGAAATATAACATCGTAACTAAAGGTTAGTTTTAGATTAATCCTCAAATTAAAATTGTGTATCAATCGATCGACAAACATTCACCGATGTATCTTAGAACTGAAACATCAGGAATTATTTTTACAATTTGTACCCAACCCAAAACTGAGAGGTATCAGATAAATAAAAATAGGTACTACTAGTGCTATAATTATGCTTTGTCAGTTAAAAGTAATGAGGACACAAACAAAAGTATTATAAATAAATATCTGTGTATTTCATATACGTTAGGCGTTCGTTCACAAATTCAATATTTTTATACAATATAAATTAGTCTTAACAAAATTCAAGTATTAGGTCAATTTTTATTGTAAGTAAACGTTTACGACGACACATTGAAATATATTAAGAATGTTAAAATTGTGAATTTACCACATAGAAGTATACATTTTAATGGTATTTACCAACAAATGTAAGCGACGATCTACGTCACCGGTAAAACAGGTGCTCAACACTCTGACTAGTTGCTTATTGCTATACGCAGCCACAATAAACATCTTATTACATAATTACGACATTTATTGTGATCTACAATTCATTTGTATAAAAATATGAATTCTGTAGAATTTATTAGTATTATCTAAAGGTAGCCTTACAATGTACTTATAATACAAGTGTCATATTGGCAGTAATCGTGATTATGGCAACGTGAATTTGAATTAAAAATATTTTTGGTCCAAATTTTTTTATAGTATCTACTAAGACTCACGTCCCGTTATTTTTTATAGTTCAAAGGAATACATACATCATATTAATACTGAAGTAACAAATTTTAAAATATTAATATTTTTTAAAACTAAGCGGAGACTATGTTAAAACTAAGTCACTTATATAATATGGCAGTAAGTGGTAATCGCAGAGCGTTTCTCTCATGTACCTGCGAGACTCGCACGTCACCACTGGATCTTATTCGAGGACTACGTGTAAGTGAATATGTCTACTCGATGGGTAATACGTAAATTATCATTGCAAGATAAAAATACACACGATGGCTTCCAAATCACTCACACCAATAAATTTTTCATTTTTCAATTGTCCAAACGTTCCACTTTAATGTTCAATTTTGATATTCGTTCAACACTACTCTTTTACACTCTCGTTCTTCGTTAAAGCTGGTATTCCGTTGCTAGCAACATCAAGTGTGCTTTATCTTCAATCATTTCTTGTAACCTTCTCCAGTTACATTTACTTCAATTGTATTTTCTTTTATCTGAACTTTTGAAAATTCTTTCGTTCTATTAAATACGTATGAAGTTAGATCATCTTCCCGATGAATTTTATTTTCCATTTTATTGTTATACTTCTTTCGTTTTAGCACGCCGGAACGTCCGCGCATTTAATAATGCTTATAGGCTTAATGGCCATGTCGCATTCGGAATCTTGTATAACGTTATTCGTTAACTTGTTCACACAATAAACACTTCGTTGTTTCGTTGCTTCTTCGCCCTGTGAAAAAATCATATTTAGGTTAGATACTATTCAATAGATATTTTGTATTAATTAATTATTCGTCTCGATTTGTTTTTTTAGTCTCGATACAGCGCAATAATGGCTGCAGTATTAATGGGTTGACTAGACTGAACAAGGACTGCACTTTTGCAAAATAGTAGTAAAAAATATCACTAAAATGCTACTGTTTCGTGTGGTGTATGATTAGAACCGGAGATATTTCAACTAGAGATCTAAAGGCTAAAATACATTTCATCTTAGTCCCAAGGGTATCTACAATTTCATTCATAATCGAATACAGATATAGTTGTCTATGTATATATATCTTATTGACTTATTGTATAAAAAGAGATATTGTAAAAATGGTGCAATAAATTGTTCATATGTCACTAGGGAATTCATTCACTGTTGCGGTATATATTCGAAAATTATATCACCTACGAATAATAGGCAATACAAATTTTATAATACTATTGCTGTAAACTGAGCATTGAGACAAGTAATCGCACCATGTCGATTCGTTTTCTTTTTTGTATCTCATTGAGGCCAATGTCAAAGGGTTGACAACGCATATGTGTTTTGATTCTTAATCGAGAGAAGATAATTTGCCAATGTACTATATTACTTATCATTAGGTGGAGTGTGTGCTCGTTTGTTACCTTTACTGCTATAAAAACTTAAATAACTAAATATTAAGTACATGTTTAAATTTTATGACTTCTTCATTTTAATGATCTATCGGAGGTTATGGGACCTTTCTAGCATTTACCATATAGTTCGCCGCTACACGGCGTAAAAGAGTACCTATTTCAATTAAATATTTCATTTCAATAAAAATAGTAAACGTTCGTGAAGTTATATACGTGGTAGAGCCACGCTGCAGCTATACTATAATTAGTAATTTATTCCCCTTGTTATATATTCGAGTTGCAATGATGATGATGATGATGAATGAAGAGATCATTGCTTCACAATGGTTGCAAATAAGTTATTATGCACTTAAGTTATATATTTTGATGGTTCCGTGAAGCAGTAGCTTAGCAATGAGTTGCTGCGCTGGGGGCCGTGGGTTCGAATACAAATAAATGTTCCAGTTCTGGATGTTTGTCCTTGTGAAATTTATGTTTGTAAACCGCTTCCACGATACAGGAGATAGTCCTAGTGTGGGGGTAATGTTCTTAAAACAAAATAAAAATAAGTATAACATTTTCGGTTTGGCGGGAGACCAGACCTTTGCTATCTGACTGTCCGTTACAAGCTGGCTTTTTAAAGTTCAGATAAGTGGTATACTATTACTATTGTTATTAGTGGTATTACTTCATCGGGGAAGTATTCAAGGAATGTGAGATTTTACAAATTTTAGCGTTGATTGGTTTTTAGTTAGTTGATTGGTTTTTAATATAAAATTTGACAGAATGACGTGGGAAATCCACTAGCAATACCGAGTTAGAAAAGTCTATTTTAAAAATCATTAAAGACCGTAGCAGCAGTGTAAGAAATATCCATTACCCCACATCGCCCCCCGTGTCGTAAAAGATGACACAGGGAAACTGAAATAGGGCAGCAGCATCATCCTGATACCAACCGAAAATAATTGCCTCATTTTTTTGCTATAGTAGCCACGCTTGGCAGGCATAATAACAACCGCAATTTTTTCTGTGTGCGGGAGGCCTATGTTCAGCAGTGGAGTAGAAAGGCGGTAATAGATTATGATTTAAGTGTACGTACGGGCATGTGGCAAGGCGTGGAGCAGGGGTTCCAGGCGCCGACCCACCAGTGCGTGGGCGCGGACGCGGGCTCGCACGCCGCACTGCTGCACTGCTGCATGAGCGCCTCGTGCCGCGGCGGCTCGATCTGGTAGCACTGCGACTGCTCCCCCACGCCTGCACCAACATTAAAGTGCCATTGTACGCTACAAGTGTGTATTAATGTTTAAAACTTACTTTTCGCGAGGTAATATGACGTGGGACAGAACGCCGCATAATATACCATATTATGACGATTTGTTGCAGTTACCAGTCTTACACAACGCCGTGGCGGTGGAAGCCACAGTAAAAATATATACTTAAAATAGTTACTCAACTCCCATACTAACCTATGAGCACCATAGACAGAGAAACCTATAGACTAATGATTAGCGTGGCCTTGAGTGAGAAAGGATGATAACGTAGTTTTAGGTTATACAATAATCTTTATGACTTAAACATATTTAGATAAAAATTTTAATTGTTCTAGGAACTGAACTGAACAAGACTCACCAATCTTTCAAGCACACAAAACACTTTTTTCTCACTTAAACCAACTTGTAAACTCCTTAGATCGCTACGAACTGTCAAAATTGTTTAGCAAAGTGTAGTATGCTAAACGAAAAAACTGGCTCGGAGAAAGGGACAAAGAATCACACCGCTCTGTCTCATTTTTATGCAAGACGTACGCATAAATCTATCTTTTTCGTGTGCGGATACGAAAGAAGGCGTCAATTTGTCTATAGGTTTCTCTGTCTACGATATAAAATCATTGACCCGTCACCCACCTACGGTAGTTTTCCGTACGGAATTTTGCGGGTAAAACGGGATTCCGTATGTGTGTGGCCGACCCGTTCGTTCCGTTTCAGAATTTCGAAACGGAATTCCGTATATAGTATGAGGCGGGTCTAAGCGAGCTTCGCAATGCAGTCAGCCGCGGGTATCGCCCTATAATTTTATGTGTATATTATATGAGTCAGTTTTGCGTTTACTTGTGTATATATTGTATAGTTTGTACATTGTAAAGCTACGGTGCAGCCATATTATGGTTGTAGCATGAATGGGTCGGCTCGACCCAGGTACAACCATAATGTTACAGAATACCGGCGTATAACTCAAATAAAAAGAAAATTAAAACCCCCAAAACGAAAAAAGACCGATGAAACACTCGATTAAGACACCTTTCAAACAGAAAAAACGGCCTATCTGTTTAGGAACTTTGATGCCACAGATAGAAACACATCACACAGATATACAGATACACACTATAAACTTATAACAGCCCTCTGTTTTCATCGAAGGTTAAAAATAGCAGCATAATGCTGCTGTTTCGTATGATAAGTAAAGAACTAGAGACCCATTTTACTGAAGAAAAGGCATTCCATCTTAGCCTCAGGGGTGACAAAGCATCTGCAGTTTGATTCTTTATCGAGGATAAATGTAGATGTCCAATAGGCCACAGCATCCACTTACCATCAGGTGGACTGTGTAAAAAAGAGGGCGACATTTGTTTCTTATAATACGAAATTTGGTGAAAAAAGTGGCCACCACTATAAACGTGTTGTATTCAATCACGTATCCGTTAATAGAAATGAAAAAGTGACCGTCATTTTGAAATTTTTACTTATTTGCCTGATTGCTTTACAATATTGTAAATGAGAATCTGTTTCGCCTTCGATCACGTATCCGTTATCAGAAACGAAAAGTGGTCGCCATTTCGAAAAATTTTCTGGACGGATTATGTACTTCCTTTTAAAATCGTTCTTTTGGAGTCCACATGGTCTATGGATTACAATGGATATGAATTCGGAGATAGATAGAGGTGTCTGTGTACCATAGCATCCGTTTACCGTAAAGTAGTCTGTGTGCTTATTCGTCACCCTTGCTTGTATGTAAAATAAAGTAAGGAACGTTTCATAATATATTTTGTATCGATTCATATCGATTTTCTACAGTTTTACATAGGGATGGCGATTCTTTCTGGAAAAGAGATTTTTAAATCGATTCAAATCGAAATTTTATGAATCGATTCACAAAAAAATGAAGGCCTAAGAGATCGATTTCTCAAAAATCGATTTTTTCTATTTGTTTTCAGAGTTTAAACTTACAATATCAAAAGATACAACAAAGTACAGATTACAAACGTAACTTATTTTTTATTTCTTTAATCTATTAAGAAGATACGAAAGAAACTGAGCAGGTAGCTGTTTTGCGAGTTCTTGAATAGAAAAACTGTGATTCTTAACGAGTTTGGGTACGTTCAGCTATGTGTGAATAATTTTATACTTCTAATAAAAACAGAAAAATAATCTCGGAAAAATGGATTCAAAGGATCGATTCAGTACTATATATCGATGTAAAAATCGATCTTTTTGGCACAAGAAATCGATTATTCGATTAATCGATCTCAGATCGCCATGCCTGGTATTAAATAGCGGTTACTTACGGTTGTGTTCGTCGACGCATTCGTAGTAGCGGCGCATGTAGCCATCGCCGCAGGTAACCGAGCAGGCCGACCATTCCGACATTCGGTAGGAGAATCGCCGCCGCAACTGTTGCTTGTCCACCGTGTACTGGTATGTCACGCCAGGGTTGCGATGCTTACCTCCAAAGATCCGTTGCTGTTACATTAATATATATCTCTTATTAATATACAACATGTAACAAAAACCCTGTGGTTCCCGTTAACTGCGTTATCAGAATCAGTATTCAAGCGTATAGCAATAATTTTTTTCAAAAAAAACTAATTAAAAAATTAATTATAAAGAAAAAAAATTAATTTGCAAATTGTATGTAGTTTTATTTTCTCTAACACACATGAGTATCGGTAATGCGGGGTTGTTGACAATCCTCTGACTCCTCGGCCAATGCAGAGATAATAAAACCATGTATAATTTGCAAATTATTTTTTTTTCATTACAATTATTTTTTTTAAAATGTGTTTTTCGAAAAAAATATTTCTATACGCTAGGATACTGATTCTGATAACACACTTAACGGGAACTATAGGGTTTTTGTTACATGTTGAATATCATAATACGTGTGTCGCTTTGGGGCAGAATAAGAGACAGTTATTAGCATATCCCATTTCCTAGGGTTTGTTATCGTGTAGTGGCGGTGTAAGAATATCAACTAACTTATGTCACTCAATGGGTGTCGTAAGAGGTGTCAGGGCGAAACAAATCAGGAGATGGGCAGCAGCGTCTCTCTAATAACGACTAAAAATAAAATAAAATTTGTGATTGCCAACCCGCTTGCCAAGGGTGTTAACTTGTGAGGCAATCTATGTGGGAGGCCTTTTCGTCCGTTCAGCTTTGTTCGTTGGACTTTAACCTCTCAAACGCCAAGCGTCCAAATTTGACCGCTTCGATGTTCCGTCAAAATTCAAGAGGTCAAATTTGACCGCACCCACCCACAGCACTTTAACCCATAAATACTTATGTTTAGATACTACTTTTCTATGAAGAAGTTTGGCATTATAGAATCAATATGAAATTTTCTATCCTCTAGTAGAATAAAGAAACAGTTAGTCTATGGATATTAATTTATATTCTACGTTCATTACGTACGCCATTTTCATTTGGATGTTGTTGTGTTGATTTTTGTATTTTTCTAGTGTATTATTGGTGTTTTACTTGTAAAAGTTTTTGTGTGAATATAATTTATCTTTTTACGTAAATAATTTCGAGTAATATATAGAAATAATTGTGATTTTCACGCTGCCGACATCCGCTTGGTATTTTTTTTTGTTATCAAAATACAATAAAATCTTTTTGTAATGAAGTAAAACCTGACTTTTGTTTAGACCACAGGATAGAGAATTTTGTATAGATTTTATAATGCCAAACTTCTTCATAGAAAAGTAGTCTCTAAATATAAGTTTTAATGGTTTTAAGTGCTGTGGGTGGGTGCGGTCGCATGCGACCGCTCGGGATTTGCCAGGCGCATGCGACTGCATGGGAATTTTATGGGGATTGAAGGGTTAATAGGCTGTAACGGTAACGATAAGCCAGGACATCTTGTAAAATGCCCAAATCGGCGACGGTAAGCAACGTTAAAATACGCCTGGTACATACTGTGACTTGAACACCCACTTTACTTTGCGATAGTCCAGCCGTGTATTTATTTAGAAGCCAATGCGAAATATTATTATTCTGACCGCATAGTCTACTTGCGAAAGACAAAGAACCTTATTACTATGGCATGAGTTCTAAGTTTGATCGCAGATTGAGTGAACATTTTTAATGATTACATAAATTACTGGTTTTCTGGTCTAGATCATATGTGATTGTTTTCGGGTCTCTGATACATCGGACATAGGTAAGTTAGACATAGGTGAGTGCCTTTTTGTACACTATAATAATAATGTCCAGACCGAATTGCGGACCAGGGCCAGCCTCAACGCAGACTTGCCATCGGCACAGGGCAGGATTATATTGCCCAAGTGTATACGCAAGCACAGGTGCTCTCTCTATTCCTTTACTCTCATGGTCCGATTGGACGGTAAACCGACACAATCGGATAGAGATCAGGTGCAGGACCAACGGCTTTACGTGCTTTCCGAAGCACGGGGGTGAGACACCAACTTCTTGATTCTGGGCAACTACTGAGAATTTCTTAAAAAAAATAATTTATATAACACTCAACTGATAGGCTTAAGCAGTATAATACATACTCTTTCTCCATAAAAAGTTTCACGCTGTAGAACCTTCTTCTCGTCTTTATCAGCTCATAAAAGTTTACTGCAAAACTGCAATAGGCCTCTACTCCATTTTGGGAAGGATTTGCATTTTGGGAAGGATTCGTCACGCTTGGCGAGGGATTAATGATCACAGTACTGGATGTTTCAGTCTGGTTATGATACGTTTAGCGTTAACGAGATGATTATAACGCCATCTGTCGAAAGCAATAACAACTTTTTAACATATCCGTAGTCGCTTCACACCACACCTATAGGGTGATTTATTTGTTTATTTACTTTTACGTATGTGATAGATTCTCTTATGCCGCCATACATCTAACCGGTTAAGAGGACATAATCACACATCTGTGCATTGTTTGTTGACAGGTGAAAAGAGAATTTCAAAAATAATTTCACTTACAAAAACTTTTATATCTTCGGCAAGAGGTCCACTAATTCGTACTTTTTCCCAGTCCCGATCTCTCTCGTAGATCGCTGGAGCTCCTGCCACGAAGTACTCCGACACAGTAGCGTTTCTGTTGTCATTTTAAGAGATATTTTAGATTCAGTAGTTCTTACTTGATAGTTCTAATTAATCACAGTATATTATATAAACTAATTATAAAGATAAAAAGACTTGTTTTTTAGCTAAAATATTTATACGAATCGCTATTTAAATAAAATTGAAGATTTAAAACTTTTAGAATAGAACTTACCGAGCTCCGGTAAGATACATTCTTCTTGATTTAGCGCTCCTTATGGAAATGTAGTTTCCGGGGCTAACTTTCTCTTGAATCTTAACGTTTCTCGAACCGGCTGGAATTACTGCAACCTGTTTAATATCGTTATTTTCACGCTAGTTATCTCAATTAGTACAAATTAAAATAAACTAAATAACCAATAAAATGAATAGGTGCCAAATGAGTGGGTGTAGATCTCGCACTTTTACTAACAATACCGCTGTGACTGTTGCAACACTGAGGAACACGACCGATCATTATGCTATTGTGCTATAAAAGTAAAGTAAAGTTACAGCCTATATACATCCCACCGCTGGGCACAGGCATCCCTTCATTTCTGAGAGGGTTTTTTTAGGGCAACGAAGTGTCCGCCGTGCTGCCCCAATGCGTGTTGGCGAACTTCCATGTCTTCGAAACATTTTTTTTTCCTATTCCTCAGACATGCAGATTTCCCCACGATGTTTTCCTTTACCGCCTAGCACGTGGTAAATAAACACTTAAAATTACAATTAACAATTTCATTGGTGCCGGCGGGGATCGAACCCGGGTTATTCGCGATCTGTTATATTAACAGCGAGCGTTAAACATATCTGAGCCACCACGGCTCCACATTTATTTATGCTATACTTTTTGCAATCCAATGATTTCATATATTTTTTTGTTTGTTGTTTTAATTTCTTTGTACGTTGTGAATTCATTCGGCATTCATTCATAATAAATAAATTTAACTGGAATCACTCACCTCACTTAAGCCAGACTGCCTTGTGGTATCTTTATTGTAGATGCCGAGCACAGTCTTGCACGCAGACCCGTTACCGCCACACACGCCGCACGCGTCTTCCTCCAAATCAGAGTCCACAATCCAGTCACAGCCAACCTTATAGCACACACCTGCAGATAACAGATATCACATCAATGTATTATTAATGATGTCGTACCTATCTTAGATCGAAAGAATAACTATCCTAATGCGAAATGAATATAAAGATAAGAAATGGATTTCTGCGTGAGATTTCATCTGGATAGGACGTATGACCTATAACCGTGTAGTGGCGGTGTAAGAATATCCATTACCTCATATTGTCCCGAGGCTGACACGAGGGTGTCGTGTCGAGGCGACAAAATGCGTTACAAAATCGTAAAATGAAACTGTGCTTCATTGTTATAAGAAAGGTACAGGAAGTTAATGCAGCATTATACATAAATTAACATACAATATAAGCTTTTTGGTTTTGTTGCGATATTGTCCACGTATTTTATATCTTCTCGTACAATTTTGTAACTTTTACTACTCTTTTACAACTAAGGAATGCTTGTTAAAATTATAGTTTAAGAATACGGAATACGTTGCTTGTAGAATTTTAATTGAAAAATCATGTTGTGTGATGTTAATTGTGATATACTATAATTTAAAAAGGATAAGATTGAAGGTGGTATTGCTTGCAAAACCAGTTGACAATCCCAAAAAATATAATAAACTTTATCTATTAGCAACGATTTAAGGTGTAACGATCTCACCTGATATGCACATGTCTCTGGCGCCCAGGTTTTGCTTGCACGGCGTCCCGTCAGCCACAAATCCACCCAGCATCTCCACATCGTTTCGGTTCCGAGGAATGCATTGTAGTTCACATGGTTTATCTATAAATATCAATTTATAGATTTAGAATCACGAACTAATACAAACGACTTAGAATCTATTAGAATTTATTAAATATTAAGAAGTATATAGCGCTGCCATAGAACAGTTTTATTGCGGAGCTTGTACGCATACGTAATATTTTATCATCGGTTAATTGTTAAACTCAGAATAATACTTTAATTTGGGTGACCAACGAGCACACAGTCTCACGGTAAGTAGTAGCTGTGGCCCATGGACGCTTGAGGACTAAGATTGAATGCCTCATTTCCAGTAATAAGGATCTCCGGTTCTCTACACTACGAAACATGGCAGTATTAAGCTGCTATTTTACGCAGTTATTTTGTGAGAGCGTTGTCCTTCCTGGGTCGAGCTGACCCATTCGTGATACAACCATAATATAGCTGCAGTGTGGCTCTACCTGTATAAAATATATAACAATGTCAAAGGTAATCTCAAGACAGTTACGTAGGTATCTTATCTTTAGTATGCTCATATTTAACAGTGTTGTTTTATCTTTAACTATTGTCGCACCGTGGGTGTTATAAACATAAGGGGCAACAATATTTTAAAAAATTGTGCCAAGTGTGGCAGTCATAGTAAAACCCCTTTTATAAGACAATCTATGGAGGAGTCCTATGTTCAGCAGTAGAAATGTATAGGCTTTTTTATAGGATAAGAGTGACAGGCTGGCAGGCAGGTAATGGATAATTTAATATTGTTGTGTTTTCTTTTTACAAACATTTTGATAAGTGTATAACATAAATTGCTCTCAGATGTATAAGTTAATGATTCGTATATTTTGTGCTAGCTTGCTTTACAGATGTTGTCCGGTAGGTGGTACAATGAGTTTTACTTCGGACTTTTTACAGTGTTTATATAAAATTTATTAATAACTTGCCCATAGCGACACCTATCGGTACTGGATTTTGTGATTTTTTTAACTAACATATATTCTAAATACGAGTCATCCTGGTTCACATTGACTACATCGTTGCCTGTCTAATTCTAGCACTATCAATCATTGTGACAACAAAATAATATGACCTCAATCCGTCAATTCGTTCAGAAGCTACACGATCACTAACAGACACTTATTTCATTATGAAGAGCGGAGCTGGTTACACTAAGAAATTTAATATAACATTCTACATCAACATATATATTATACAAACTGTTACTCAAATACTCAAACACTTGTTAAGTTGTTGTCGTTAAGTGTCGTGCTGTCTCTTTTATTTTAAGGCAAAGTGACTGTGACATCACGAGACTTAACGACATCTTAAAATTGAGTAGCGTTTGAGTATTTGGCCATGTGTGTGTATTGTTTTTGTTCTGAAATATAATATATAAATTTATGAACCTTGATCGAAGTAAGGTATCCACTCTGTGATGGTTTCATTGTTGTACGTCATGTTGTTGTACTTAGAACACTGCACCTCTCTGAACGTTGGCTCGTTGATCGGACACGGATCTGTGTTACAAACTTTGTACCTGCAATATAATAATATATTAATTCTTACTAGCTGGCCACTGCACCAATAAAAAATCCTTAAATTAGCAATACAAAAATATTGAGGGTTACTTATATACTCTTAAGTTGGACGAAATTGCACATAGTGTGCAAAATTTCATTGAAATCAGTTCAGTACCTGGTTTAGGAGTTCTTCGTGGGCATACAATGTGACACGTAATCTCTATATAGTATAAAACAAAGTTGTTTTACGGTTAGATCTTTTAAACTGCGCAACGGATTTTGATGCGGTTTCATCAATAGACAGAATGATTCAAGAGGAAGGGTTATATGTAAGGTACATGAATGTAATATGGTCATCTTAAGCTTTGCCGCCCTATAAAACCAAAACAAAACAAAGGCAGAGACAAAAACATAAAGTCGTATACTCTATCTAATAAACTAAGAAGAAAAAAAAACAGCAAACAGGATTCGGAAATAATTAGGAAGATTCCGAAAAATCTACATAAAAAAACTAAATACACTACACCGTACTGAAATTGACTAAAATATTTACTATAGTGTCTACTGTCAAAATGGCATCGATAAAGCATCGCCCTTTTGACCCTTTACTATTGACCGATAAAGAGTTATCGTATCACAAAACCATCTATGCAAACAAGGCTGTAGTTTTTGAGTTACAAGAAAGTGACCATATTAACCGGATGACCATATTACTCTCACGTACTATATAATACATGCACATGTTATCAAGATCCAAAAACCACCCGTGCGAAGCCGGAGCGTATCGCCAGTTTGTATATACAGTCAAACCTGGATAACCGAGAGTTCAAGGGAGCACAATCTCATTCTCATTTATAGAGGTTTCTCGCTAACCCGAGTTTCTCGCTTATGCAGGTACATGGGTAGCGTTTCTCTCTTATAGAGGTACGCAGCAATAACAAGTCACAGCAAGTACGAATGTAATAAACATGTAATATGATAAAATTAGGTGAATAATATGCACAACATATGTATATTATGTACATATATATTTTTAATAGTGTGTATATGTTACGTTCATTAGATTTCGACATATAAGTACTTTATAAGGGTAGGTATCAAGATGCTTACGAAAACAAAACAAAAATTCGTGCACTATGTAATTTTATTTTATTTAGTACTTTTTTACACTTAATAAACCGGCCACGCTCAGTGTAGGGTTCCGTAGTTTCCCGTCCGTCACAATAAGTGTTCCCACTTATGAGTTTGTACAAAAACTGTTGTTTCCATCAAAGTTAAAAATGATTTTCCTAGAAAGTCCTTATAAAGTTCTACTTTACAGATTTTTTTCATATTTTGTAAACTTATGGTTTAAAAGTTAGAGGGGGGGGGGGACACATTGTTTTTTACTTTTGGAGCGATTATTTCCGAAATTATTGACATTATCAAAAATGATTTTAGTAAACCCCTATTCATTTTTAAATACCTTTCCAACAATATATCACACGAGAGGGTTGAAATTAAAAAAAATCACTTCCCACTTTACATATAGGGGGGCTACCCTAATAAACATTTTTTTCCAATTTTTTCACTTTGTCGGCGTGATCGATACACATATTGGTACCAAATTTCAGCTTTCTAGTGCTAACGGTCACAGAGATTAAGCGAGGATGGACAGACGGACAGACAGATATGGCGAAATTATAAGGGTTCCTAGTTGACTACGGAACCCTAAAAATCCGTCAATTTAGTCAAGAACAGAACTTTCCTTCGCAATTGATTAACTACAAACGGAGTAAGTCCGACAAACAGGACGGTACACAGGCACACGTGTCCATTCGAAAAGAATGCGATAAAATAACAACGTTATTAAGTTCCACGAGCCAGAATAGGTACAATATTGACGAGAAAACAACACAAAAACAATGGCAGGAAGTTCCACGAAATTTAAGAATGAGTCATAAAATAGCAGATGTTAAATTTGTAATTTGTTTTGTCATTTGTTACTGTATGTGTGTATCTTTTATGTATGTATGTATTTTTATTGTACCTATAGTACCTAAATAATATTGTACCTAAATAATATAAATAAATAAAGCTCAACTGTAGCTTATAGAGGTATAGATAAATAGCAGTCTCACTTACGGAGGTCCATGAGGGAAAAACGATTCTCTCTTACAGAGGATTCTGCTTCTCGCTAATAGAGGTTTTGGGAGTGTAAAATGATGGGTTCTGGCTATTACTCTCACTTATAGAGTTTTCTCACTTATCCAGTTCTCACTTACCCAGGTTTGACTGTATAAAGATTTATGATCAGCCAACGTAATAGGTTGTCTAGATAGCAACGTAATCTTCGATAAATGATATGCATAGGGCTCCTGTTCTGAGAGTATGAGCATGGTAAATCAGTAATTAAAATGTTAATTGATAATTTCATTGGCGCCGGCGGGATCATACACGGGTTCTACTTTAAGCAAATAAAGCTAATATTAGAATTAAGTACAACCTGTAATATCTTTTATACTTCAAACGTGTTCCGGTTTGGCTTGGGTGTACTGTTGCATTACGGAAAATATAGGTTTATAAATAAAGGTTGGTTATTACTTTTACCCAGATAGACTCGATACTGAGCCGCACCACTAGCATGTCGCCCATACATATATCCGTGTCCAGCTGGGGAATGTGATACCAGTAACAGTCTTAAAGTTGAAACTGGTAGCTGCACCCAACAGTTTGAGCATCACTGACCGACTCCTGTCGCCGATGCAGTAGGCGCCGTTGTTGAGCGGCTCGGGCTTGTTGCACTCGCGCGACTGCGTGGAAACGCCGGCGCCGCACGTGCGCGAGCACTCGCTCCACTCGCTCCACTCGCCCCAGCCGCCGTCTCTTGGCTCCGGGGACGGACTGCGCGGCACGCATGTCTGGTTCTGGCACCACTGCGATCGAACGAATCTTATTTTCATAACAGACTTCAAAAAAGGAGGTTGTTAATTCGACTGGGATTCTAGATGTATTTTTGTAATAACGCAAACAAAGTTATTTGAGTCATTGAGTTATTACTACTACGTATAAAGAAGACAACGCCTTGTATAATTTTGCGCCACGCTTTGCGGTACACTGTACCGCAACTGTGCTCCTGTTTTTTAAAGACTGCAGTAAATACTCCAGAACATCAAAAAAGGTGATGGTATTTTTAAACTCTTTGATTTAAAGTTTTTCAGTTGTTACAATGTTAAGAATCGAATGTAAAATCTACGAGAGCGACTTATTGTACACTACGTTGAACAATACGCGTAAGCGCCATTAAATTCCTGGCACTAAAGTTGTTCAAAACGACTATAAATCAATAGCACGCTACAGACTATAAACTATAAATTTCTAGCGCGCTATTAAATACGCTATGTTATAGCGCGCTATTTATAAGAAAGCGTGTAGGAGGCCGGCAAGCGCGTTAAGTTTAGCAGCACGCTATATCTCGAAGCACGCTACGTTACGTGTCGTTCATTGGATAGACAGCGCGCTATATAAGAACATTATTTCGTAATAAGTCGCATTTTAGATTAAAATAAAATAAAGTGGTAAAGAGAAATCAATGAACGCTTTTTCATACTTTTCAGGCTTACGAGTTATTATAACCCTAAAAATAATTTTAAGGCATGTGTGTTTTAAAACAAAATAAAATTAATCATTTTTCATTATAATTGATGTAAACGTTATTTTAACCTTAATATATTTTATAAATCAATTTAAGGTGTATTTAAAAGTTTATTGGTTGTATATACAAAAATCAACTATTTACAAACACTATTATATACACTTTTGTATCTATATTTCATTTACATTTAAAATTTTAGTTAGGCTTCTTTTGTAGCAGACAACTGTGTCCTTCGATCACTTATAAATATACAGTATACTCTAACTAAACAACGTCTAACACTAAATTAGTTCGCTCGCGATGAATAGCGTGCTGCTAGATTAAATTTGCGTCATACGTCTACTCCCAACAGCGCTGCTGCTAAAACTCATTGCCACTTGATGTGAATAGAGCCAAAGCGTCATAGCGTCATAGCGCCATGGCGACTACTTACAGAGCACGCGCTATGCGTTATGGAGGGATAGCGCGCTATAATATGGCGCTATGCGCTATATTAACTACCATTACCTGGCACTAAGACCTTTTTGTTGCGAGAAAACTGATCCCTAATGCAAACTAGCGCTGCATGTTTTAATAGTTTGGTTAGACGACGTAACTATTATTTTAGCGCTGCAGCCAACTTTAGTTCAAACTCTTACCAAAATGAAGCAAACTTTAGGTTCGGGGTGTCTGTTCTATTATACGCTAGTAATATTTGTATTATGTAGTTCGATGTTGAGAGTAAGACTAAAGAGTAAAATTATTCGAGGGTCGGTTACTCTGGTGTATACATGGTATTTAGTCGAATCAACCCTTAATATCATATTTTTATTATAAGGTTATATAACCGTGTAATAATAATATGGTAGTATTTAAAGTAATGTCCCTTCACGGTTCTTTGAACAATGTCTTCTAAAGAACTCATGTCTGTATAATCGTTCCCTTGATTTTAGAGCTTTGTAGAATATTAAGAGACGAGTACAGGAGACCCAACAGTATGACTTTGGATACTTGAGTGAGAGATAAAACTCTATTGTGGGATACTGCTTGCGAAGGCACTATGGCAGGCTTTCATCTCAGGGGTTCCTCGTTTAAAGCAGGGGCGGCATTAGAGGCAACTGGACATAAGTAGCTCAAATATGAATCTATAAGAAATGAGTACATATTTGTGCCATTTGCTGTAGAGACGGATCACGTGCGGTGAAGTTCCATAGTGATAAGTAACTTATACTAATATAATAACAACTATATAATAACATAACTTTAAACTAATGAAATTTAAAAAAAAATATAATTAATTAAAATACGCAAATGTTCGAATTGATTGTCGCTTCTGTTTCTACAGTCGGCTCAAAATTATCTATTAATGCCGAAGTTTTATAAGAGCTTTATTATTTAAATCCTAAAATGCGGAATATGTATAAGTACTTTGTTTATTTTTATTGCATTACACAATGAAATCAATTACAGTACTTATAAAACATGCACGCACAGACACGCACTTATAAACACAATTACATAGTATAATAACACTATTACAGTATTATACTTTGCAGTGAAGTCGTAAGAACCTTATTGTGTCTCGTGTGTGTCATAAGAGGCTATAGTACTCGTAAATGTCATAGAGATCCCATGACCTCCGTGACAGCGATATAACCTTCTTGCACATAAGTATAATGTTTTATGTAAAATATCTAGACCGACGACTGGTGTACTGTTAAAGTTGGACGATATCTGATATAACGATCGTTATTCCGCGACTCAAGCATGGCGATTGTGGCAAACTAAACTATAGGAAAAGCTGTTTTACACTAATTGACTGTTGAGCTGTTTATGAAGATGAAAAGTGTGAAAAATAAAATTAATTTAAAAGTTAAAAGTTATGAAAAAGCATTTTAGTAATAATACTACAGCCTTTTATAATTATTTTCAGGAGCAGTAACAAAGGCTTAGTTTATTTTTGTTTTAAAAATATAAGATCACCATTTATATTTTAGAAAGTGTTTATGTAGCTGTGGTAGCTCAGATGGTTAGCGCTCGCTGTAAATTTCACAGTACGCGAGCAAACCGGGTTCGATCCCCGCCGGCACCAATGAAATTGTTAATTGCAATTTTAAGTGCTGATTTACCACGTGCTCGGCGGTGAAGGATAACATCGTGAGGAAACCTGCATGTCTGAGTAATAAGAAAAAAATATTTCGAAGACACGTGAAGTTTGCCAACACGCATTGGGGCAGCGCGGCGTACAATTCCTTACCCTAAAACTCTCTCAGAAATGAACGGAGGCCACAGAAATCTAAATTTAGATTTTTGTGAGTGTTAGTATTTAAGGGTCCACAGTGTTTCAACTTTGCATCTTTCATTACCACGTTTTTATTAAGTAACTTTCTTGTTTGTCTGTCTGTCTGTCGTTTTGGTGAAATCTTGCAACTCAAACAACCGATGAGCTAGGTACTTAAAATTTTGAACATAGCCCGGAATCGGCTGACAATGTAGGTAGTGTAATGTAGTATAAAAAAGAAACGTGGTATATGAAACTTTTTTACAGCAAAAATCACTTGTTTTAAATTGTTAGTGTAGGGAATATATCGCGTCTTCTAAAAAATATAATATTTTTATTTTAAATATAGTATGGTCTTGAAAAGACAAGCGAAAACATGAGAAATGTGCTTATACTCCTCTAAGATGCGATGTTTATAATACTGTCACCAATCTGCCCGCCAAATGTGGCGGATACGCTGACCTTTTTACTTTTTTAGTCTTTACATCTTGTTAACAGTTTAAGTAGGCTAAATTAACGTGTTAGAGCCAAGTTGCAGTTATATTACAATGACAGGTGGTTGGCGGCATTAAGCTGCTATTTGACGCGGGTTTCTGTGTGTGGGGTCCTTCCTCGGTCAATCCAACAAATTCATGTGGTACCCATAATATGTTGCTACTTCTACTACGTAAGATATATATGATAATAATAATAAAGCCCTTTTATTTTCGAATTTTTACATAGTAGTATGCTTAAATTTAATGTAACAGCTTATAAAATGCTTTTAAATTCGGCGTGCCTTTTGGCATAGGCCTCCTCCAACAGTCTCCATTGGACTCTGTCACCATCTATCTTAGAACCATATATTATATCTTTACCAATATGGTCCTAAGGTCAGACGAATTTCTTTTTGGACGTCCCTGTCTTCTAGTGCCGTACCTTGAGTAATACAGAGAGACTTGCTTGCTCCAATTATTTATTTTGCAACGTAGCATGTGTCCTGTTCAACTCCATTTCTGATGGTCAATACGAACAAGTAGGTCGGCGACTTTGGTTTTATTTTTTTTTCAGTATTCTTAATTTTAGCTCTAAGTTTTACTTCTAACATACTTTTGTTCATGCTCCGTGACACCTTGCAAGTTTCTTTCGATGATTTTCGGTAAGGGACCATGTCTCGTGCATCCATATGTTATGCAGAGAAGAATTCAAGTGTTGAATTTAGAATACATTACATACATTTTAACGTGGGTGCTTATTTCTTTACTCGTCGTGATTTCTTTAAGCGATCAATATATTTTTCCAACCACAAAATATATATATCAAATTAAATTTTAGATGTTATTGCAGGAATATGATATTCCACAATGATATTACCATGTTCACACCGCAGGTTGTGCCTGGCGCAGCCGGTCGCAGCATAGTTTTGCAAGTGTTATTCACGAGGCACCAAAGGTGTTCGCACAGCTCGGTCGGCTTAGCACACACTACAGCTTCAGCTCCGAATTGCAGATGACATTGTGTGGCCGCATCGAAGGTTACACCTTTTTAAACAAATAAAAATAATATAAGTCAACTTACAAAGTTCAAAGTATGATATGTTTTGATCGTGTTCCCTGACTTTTAAAAAAAAAACATATCCAAAACTGTAATTGTTAAGTGCAGACGTATATATAAATGAATTTTTAAGGCACGAATCGTATTAACTAATTGCTTCATATTGTCTATTAAATTTTGGTCAGTTTTTATTCTACTGAATTGAATAATATTTATAACGTTTATCCTTAGTCTTCTAAAATACATGATCAAATGATAATAGCTACCAAAGCAATGGCGCTGCTCAATTAAAGGCTGTACTAATGCTACATATACCGTTGGGTAAATGTAACTCATTCTACTGTTCAGAGAACCTAGCAGCGATATCTGGAGAAGGGATGCACTGAGAGAAGCCCAGGTTATGGAAGAAAAAGATGTACTGAATCGAGACTGCACGACCGTATTTTACTGAGCTAATTACTAAGAAATCGAAAAGTTCGTAGGCACATAAAAACGCTTAAGGAAGTAAGGTGTACTAATTAGTATGTGACCAATTAGAAAACTTCACACTGGCAATATTATAGCCCGGCTTGAGGCCCTCAATAACTCAAAACTGTGCTTCGTGGACTCGATTTGCATCGAGCTGCATTTTATTCTCACACGAAGCCTGGCTTTCGATATTTGGTAAGGATCGCCACCAGCTAGTGATATGAATACCAGGAAAACAATTGTCCAGACGTGTCTGTAAAATAAATGGATTTCTATCGTGAGATCTACATACTGTTTGGGCAGCCTTCTGTTATAAAATTTAATGGAGTTGATCTTTGTTGAAAATGGTACACTAAATACATACCGGTACCTAATAGCGTTTCTAATTTCTCATGCATAACCCGATTGATTAGAGAGGTATCCATTTTTATAGATTATAATGCCTTGGCGCATCGTTCTATAGAATTTGCGTACTTATTAGTCAGGAGGTTGGGATTCACCGATTAAATTGGACAGCCGCAATTATCTTTCGAACTCTGAATTTGATCGAGCATATTGTGTGGAATATTCTTAAACAAAGAGTGGGATCAGTACAATCAGCTCCATAAAACGTCAGAGAAATTAAAAGGGTTCTAGCCACGTAGTAAGAAATTAATAGTAGAAATAAAATTTCCTTCGAGGAAGGTTGTTCGTCAACATTCAACGGAATCCAACAGCGAACTCTTCCCTTAATTAATTACCGTATCAATATTGAACATTTACTCAATATTCGGTCTTATATTGGGTTTTATAAATAGTCTCAATGTTGTGATTACTTTATATATTTACTCACCTGCTGGAACTTCTGGATACACGTACTCTTGTTGTGACGGTCTATCGCTGAGACATTCGCCTAAACCGGCGCTGTAATTTATTTACATATTTTAGCAATTTTAAGAGAAAAATTTGGGTTCAGAATTATGACTATATTTTTAGAGAAACTTGATTATAATGTGTAGCAGTGCTGTCATCAACAGTCAATAAATTGATTGTTATGATTATATATGTATAATTTACAGTTAGGTACATGACAAAATAAGGTGGGTGTACCATAGTAGGCCACTCTAACAAATAAACTGTTATTATTCGTTTATTTACTGGATAAATAAAATTAACAAATATTTAAATAATACTTTGTTTTATTACATAACATATAAACCACGTTTTTAAATTGTAGATTTAATCAATATTGATTGAACTTGAGTTTCATTGAACTCTTCCAAATGGCCTTGCTAGGAACAAGGCGTCTTAGGCCATTATAATAAATCAAAACACTAAAGTTTAATAAATAGCGATTAAATCTATAATAAAAAGAAGCGGTTTATATGTTACGTAATAAAACAAAGTATTACTTAAATATTTGTCAGTTTCATTTATCCAGTAAATAAACGAATAATAACTGTTTATTTGTTAAAGTGGCCTTACATGGTACACCTACCTTATTTTAACGTCGTCGATTCCCTAAATCAATGAAGCGAAGGACCATACTGCCATAGTAGTAGCGCGAGCGATTTTCAGTTCGATGGGTGTTTGTGTTAGTAGAAGGAATTTCATGTCATCACATGACAAGAAAACTACGACATTTTAATAATTGTCCTTCGAAGGAGCATGGCTTTCCATGCTCCACCCTTATTAGAAATATACAGCGTGTAGTGGTGGTGTAAAAATGTCTACTAACTCATATTACTCCGTGCGTGTTGTGATCGTATGAGGCGATAGAGAGAAATTGAAGCAGGTAATGCGCAGCATCATCATCCTGATAACATCTCAAAATAATTTAAAAAAAAACTGCGGTTGCCAACCTGCCTGCCAAGCGTGGTAAATCCCCTTATAAGCCTCCCCCATAGATTGCCCCTATGTTCAGTAGTAGACTTTCATAGGCTGTAATGAATGGATGGATAGATAATTCTAAATTAATAACGTATTACGTTTATATCACGTTTGGAACATGTAACAAGTATTGCTTTTTAATTACTTACTCAAGAAAATTGGTAACGTCACGCTTGCTGCACCGTGACCAAGCAACCTGGACTATGTCGGCCTCGAAAATGGGAGTCATTATGTGGAGTGTTGAACCCTCACGTCGATGACAACCAATTTTTTCCGTATCATGATACAGACCGAAGCTAAAAAAATAAGTGTAATAAAAATTCATTAATTTATTTCAACATTTACAACTATCTTTACAGGTTATCGTAATACAATGGAGTAACCATTCTATATACTATATTATATGGACTTATCTTTTTAAATTAGATACATAACAAATAATTTATAATGCTAGCTTTGTGAAATCACTCAGAGGACAACAAAAGAATTCTATTTCTCTGGCTATCAAATTCAGAGTGCAGTGAGCTAAATTAATTCTATTTGTAAAATTCACTGTAACTGAATATTTATAAAAATGTTGTATGTTGTCTTCTAAAATGAATTGGAAAATACGGATTTTATTGTCGTCGAGTGTAAGTTGGCGACCCCTATCAGATACTGTTCTTCGCAGATGATACAAGAAAGTGATAGATGAGTCGATGAATATCTACGAGTAGTTTAGGAACATGCTACTCGTATGTTGTGATCTATGTATGTATATCTGGTCTATGATCAGAAATGTACTTGTGATGATATGTCGTAATATTAGAAGTCTTATTAAATTTACATTACCAATATTAGTTACATATATATATATATATACTTAGTCTAAACTATCAGTTAGTAGCATCAAAACTCTCTTTCTTCATCCAAGGTTCCAATTGAAACGTTAAATTAAATCAGATTTAATAAATCCAGTTTATTTTTATATTTATTGTAGTTTTACTCTTACAATAACACTGAACGTTCATTCATACAAAATATAAGCAGCGAAATAAATAGAGAATACTTAATCTTAATTACTTTAGTAATGGCACTCATAATTATTTGTTATTATTTAGTAGAGACATCAACGTTGAATTTTAATAACATTTTATTTAAATTGGTCACAGGTCAATGCTTAAATAGTAATGAAGAAGGAACGTATTTACAAAACTGAATTCTGCCACATTTTATTATAGCATTAATTTATTGATTACAAACTATGTTGCGCTTAACTATGACGGAGAATCTGTGCATGTTAATTTGTAGTTTGAAAACGATGCTGTATGAGATCCTTTTGCCTGTCGTTTTTATCCTCTATTCAGGGTTCGAGGAACTTCGATACAAGTATACTTAGGTCTTATAGATTATGAGAGAGGGAAGGGAGGGGGGGGGGAGGTAGAAAATTGCTTGAAATGGTTTGTGTAAATATGTACACAAAGCCGCTGCGTCGCCCTTTTCTTTTCTAATTGACACAGTGCCGTGTGTATAGTTAATATCTGTTACATAATGTAGATTTCCGGATTTAGATCAATTTATATGTTAATATATCTCACAATGGTTTAGATATTTTTCTTTGATGTGAACATAATATGTGGAAAGCCGTAACTTATGAGTATGACATATCCTGCAAAGTGTGATTTTAACAGCAATTGTCTGACTGTATTTTTTATTAAACTTCCACTAAAAATATCAGTCAAACACGTGATATCCTAAATAATGGCGTCCTTTTACTTTTTCTTTCTGCGATTATGAGAGCTATATTAAAAAACAAACTTGTGTGGGCCGATAGCGCGGCGTCAATGCACCGAGTGCATTGTACTCGACGAATGATGCATTCATATGTCTACTACGAGTAAAAGAAGGTCATTGCCTGCATAGCGTTGTTTGCACGACTTACATAACATGTATTTATTTAGGATTGTTAGACTTGTCTAATATGCTTACTGCTATCATACTCATGTTGCGCGCAACAATATATAGGTATCATCTAAAAGTAAAACGAGCAGAAACATGTAAAATATTTTAAAAATATTTTATTGAACTGTCTCGGGCGTGTACTAAAAATCGGTGTTATACTTAGTTCCCGTTATGAGCTTTTATAAGATTTGTGTTGAGTAGACTCCATTTTAGTCCCAACATTATTATGTTTATTAATATTTATTTTTTGAACTAAACATATTATATTATTGTTATTATATTATTATTAAATATATTATGCAAAAGATTTGTTTTTAATTTAACGGATCTTATTGTAATCAGTTTCGTACGCTGTAATCGTTTGAGAAGGTTAATCGTTTTGTAAAACATACGATATTTTCATGTGTTATACCGAGTATCTCGAAGCAAAGTCCTTGTGGTAATCTCGGCTTGGAAACATGACTCACAGTCTTTACTATTGAAATGCTAGGCAACCGCTCCCAAATAAAACTCAGTACAGAATTACTCCCGAATCGTGCACAGTATACACACCCATCTAGTGCTATTATATGCAGAATATATGAGGGTAACAACAAAACAACAAAATCTTAGTGTTATATAATGCAGTTGTAACAACGTTCCTATTACATGTAAAAGTAAAACTTATTAAAAGCATTTGTGAGTGAGCTTTGACTTCTAAGACAATTACTCCAACACGAAAAGTCTGGAGTCGTCGACAAAAAGTATTGAGTCGTCGACGAATGTCTGGAATCGTTGACGAAACCAAACCTCCACCGGATCAACAACTAGAGAAACGGTTTTTCAATGTACTAAAAAGATAGCTGATAAAGATTTGGTACTTCGTTTGTTTACCTAGTTACAATTTCATCCTATATACGTACCACTGCTAGGTACAGGCCTTCTCTCATTTCTGAGAGGGTTTTAGGGCAAGGAAATGTTCGCCGCACTGCTCCAAGGCGAAGTTCCCTCAGGTTGGGGTTCCCCAGCCCGAATTTGAAGATATGTTCTTCGCAATATGTTATTTTTTCTTATTTCTCAGTCAAAAACCATTCATAAAATATAGTAATTAAAGTTATAAATCTGCAATATTATACAATAATATATCATCTCTCTGTCTTTCTAAAAACTTGCGGTTGCCAAACCGCTAGCTAAGCGTGGCAATTATGGCAAACATCTCCCCATCAGCAATGACACAAACAAATGGGCCCCAGTCCATGGCGGCCCCGCTATTCCTGGCTATGGAGGTGACCATGGTAACGGCGAGGCAGGTGGTGCTAAGAATCTCCGGTGGAGAATTGGTTGCCCACCAAGACGACTCGACCTGGCAACACATAACGCACGCACCCTGAGGACTGACGAAAAGACGAGAAGATCGGAGCTGGAAGGAGAGGTAGACAAGTTGCGTTGGCATAATATGGGATTATCCGATGTCCGAAAAGAGGGGGAGGACACGGTAATCCTCGAATCTAGCAACTTGTTCTATCACCGGGAGGGCGACTATCTGTCCCAAGGAGGTGTCGGATTTGTCGTTCACAAGTCACTCGTCAACAACTATGTAAAGATTGGGAGTTTTTCGACGAGAGCTTCGTACCCGATACTCAGAATCACCAAACGACTTTTGGTGATTCTGAGTATCATTCACTGAAGGTCTTACAGGCTTACGCACCAATCTCGGCACATCCCGATGCAGGTGGAGAAAATGTATGAGGAAATTTCTAGAGCCATGCATTCCTCCAAAACCCACTATACGGTGTTTTTTGATGAGAGAGTTCAACGCAAAACTGGACACAAGAGAAAGCGGTGAGCTGAAGGTAGGAAAATTTGGAATAGGGCAACAGAACCCCAGCACCGGACTGAGTTTATGGAGAAAGAGGGACTTTTTATGATGAACTCTTTCTTTCAGAAGCGGCCCCATAGGAAGTGGACCTCCTCAGTGACCTGGTCGGGCCCCAACGGTTCGACAAAAAACGAGATTGACTTCATTACGGCGACCAGACGCCAACTGTTCAGTCATGTCTCAGTGATCACTAGGGTGAAAACTGGCAGCGATCACCGAATGGTTAGATTAGGTTTGTTACAGAACCGAAATGTTAAGTTGGAGAGGTCTCGGCTTATAAAGTCAACGCTCCAACACCTCGTGCGCTGATCGAGGATCCCGAAAATTTTCAGCTCGAATTACAAAACCGTTTTCATGTATGTACTTAGAAAACTGCAGTAAATTTGACGATGTGAATGACAAATTCGTGGAAACTGTTCATGCGGTCGGAACTAAGTTCTTCTAGACCCGTCACAGAAGAACACAAAAACTCTCCGATCACACTCTTAATCTCATGGCTGTTAGACGGTAAATGAAGCTGCAATCTTCAGCAGATTTACCATTTTGCCATTGCAATTTTTTTTTCAGAGATTAGAATGGCTCTCCAGCACCTTAAAAAAGGCAACTCCCCGGGCCAGGATGGAATTTCAGCAGAGCTTCTAAAAGCAGGTCGGAAAACCGATACTTTAAGTCCTTCAGAAGCTCTTCAATTCCATTCTCCATGGTGGCACTACTACGGATGCGTGGAGTAGAAATGCGGTGGTCTTGTTCTTCAAGAAAGGCGACAATACTCTCTTGATGAACTAGAGACCGATCGCTTTTCTTAGCCACGTAACGTGCTGTTTTCGAGAATCATTACGAATCGTCTTGCACGCAGACTCGACGATTTCTACTCTCCCGAACAAGCCGGTTTCCCAAAAGGCTTTATTACGCTTTGGTAAATTGTTCAGAAGTCCGAAGAGTACAATCTGCCACTTTGTGTTGCGTATGTGAACTATAAGAAAGCCTTTGATTCCGTCGAAATTTGGGCGGTGCTGCAATACCTTCAGCGGTGCCAAGTGGACTGTCGGTATATCGAAGTGCTGAAGTATTTATACAGAAGGGATACGACGGCTATCCAAGAACAGAACCAGAGTACGAAATCTATCCAACTGCAGAGATGTGTAAGACAGGGTGACGTAGTATGCCCGAAACTCTTCACCGCTGCATTGGACGTTTCAAGCTACTGGACTGGAAAGGAAACGGTAGCGAGTAGATAATAATAAATAAAAATAACAGCTTTGATTTGCTAACGATATAGTTTTTACGGCAGAGTCGCTGGAGGACCTAAGCACTATGCTCAATGACCTTAATAGTGTCCTTAACGGTGTAGTTCTTAAGATGAACATGGACAAAACGAAAGTCATATGTAATATCCATGTCACACCTATGCCGGTGGTTATTGGGGGCACTAAGCTCGAAGTTGTTGATGAATATCTTTACCTGGGACAAGTAGTCCGACCAGGTAAGTCCAACTTCGACCGAGAGGTTAATTGACGAATTCAACTCGGCTGGGCAGCGTTCGGGAGATTGCGACACATCTTCTCGTCAGGCATATCTCAAAATCTCAAAACTAGATTGTTCATCCAGTGCGCGTTGCCAGTGATAATCTACGAATCTGAGACGTGGTCCTTCACTGCCGTCCTTATGAGGAAGCTCAAAGTCGCTCAGCGAGCTATAGAGAGGGCTATGATCGGAGTTTCTCTGCTTGAGTAACTTAGGAATGAGGATATCCGCATTAGAACCATAGTAATCGACATAGCCCAACGGATTAGTAAACTGAAGTGGCAATGGGCTGGCCACATAGCTCGAACAACCGGTAACCGATGGGGGAAAAAGGTACACGAGTGGCAGCCTCGTACCGGCAGGCGAAGTGCAGAGCGTCCCCCCACTAGATGGAGTGACGACCTGGTAAGACATGCATAAAGTCGATGGCTGCAGGTGACTCAGGACCATGCTTTGTGGCAATTTTTGGGGGATCCTATATTCGGCGGTAGACTTGTGGCGTGCTGGAATGATGATAATGATGATGATACCTATTTTATTATAATAGTTACACCACTGTAGGTAAACTCTGTAATGATTTTAAAAATAATATAGATATCATAAGATAAAGTATTATTAAAGGCAATTAACACGAAAGCTAATGAATAATTTATTGTAAATATTTATCGCAGTTAATAACATAGTTCGTCCGAGGCTATATAAATATGAAATAAAAAAATATTTTTATATCTTACATTATAAAATCAAGTTTAGTAAGTCAAAGATCGCAAACCAATTTAATGCTGACCACGTACGGTAACGATTTTATAATTTGATCTTATAACCAGCGGCCTTAACCAGTTCTACTAACATCTAATGCTATTGTAGCGATTTTTGATTGCATCAGCTGATACGTCCTTTACATTCACTAATATGGTTGCAATAATTTCACAACCAGCTGTAATACCATAAAATTGTTGAGTAAGTATGAAACAAAATGCAAATTAAAGGTAATAGTTTTATATAATAATAATAATCAAAAATAATAAGGGGAAATCAAGTGACGCTTACGAAAATTTATCTTAAGTTCATTGTCAAGGGTTCATTGAGGACTATCAGAGTCATCAAAAGCCAGAGACTATTTAGCACATAACGGGCGACTGTCAGGCTCTTGCTGGAACCGATTATACCTAGGGCTACCACATTGTGGCAAGAATTATCAACCAAGAGCTGACAGTAAAGCACGGTCTGTTAAAAGAGACAGAGCCCTACTTGAAATACAATCCGACTCCGATACTCGAGAACGATTAGGCCCAACTTTATTGTGACAGGTCGGTTTTATCTAACCGGACAGTTGACCATACTCGGCCAGATATCATATAAGTAGAAAAGGAGGATAAGCGGACGTAGTTGTTGGATATTGACATTCCAAATTTGCATAATGTGCAGAAGTACAGCGCTGAAAAGATGATTAAGTACCAGGGACTGGCAGCAGCAGATACGAGTACTTTTCATCCCGCCGATTCTCTTTACAACGGGAATTCATTTAATCAGGCCGTATAATATTGCGGAATAATTTATGATATTGTGAACTATAAGTCAATTACTTGCAAAAACATAACCACACATAATATGTATATGTTACATTGCAACATTCCTATTATCTGAAATGGCAACACAGATTTATACCTACTACGAGTTGAAAACTACGCACGCCAATCGCAAATCGTTGCTGTTCCGTCTTTGTTCATTTATAGTTTGTGCATCTTAAAGTGTAATGTGTCTCAAATATCTATAAAAAAATAAATTTGAGGTATAGCTTACTTGTGCCCAAGCTCGTGTGTGATGGTATGCGCAAGCATGATGCCATTGTCCTCGTTAACGGAGCAGCTGCGGTCGGGTTTGCACATCCCTGCCACGTGCGCCACTCCCAGTGTACTGCAACCAATTACACATGCTGTATCACATGACCGAGATCTTACACATGTTACAGATGCTGTTGTATATTAGATAAAGAATATACTGATCTTATTGAATTTATTTTACTTATTTCATATTTATGACGTTTCAAGTGCCCGTGGAGCTGCAAAGCACTTGAAACCTAAAATTCGTGTTCTTATAAATCACACTTTAATTTCGTTTTTACTAATGTAAAGTGTTGTATAAGTTTTAATTTTAGATATAAGAACATTTAAAGAAGACGGTGTAATCACGGTGCAATAGAACAATATTCTGTTCTTTATTTTAGATATAGTTAATATTATTGAACAAAAATAACCGTGCTGTTCGCGAATGTTTTGAATGGAGACGTTGTTTCAATGACAGGTTCTATAGATAATAAAACACGTAAATATGGTAGTTTTGAATAAAATTACAAATATATATATAAAAATATTTTGACGTTTTCTTATCAATTCACAACTGAAGCACATTGTAAACAAGACATGATTTTGTCAATATTTATCTAGTATGGTTTACTTTTACTATCAATATAAGATTTTGTAACCCAGTAAGAGCTTATCTAGGTAGTCTACTTTACGCTTTTAGTTTTATAATGATTTTTATCAAAATCACGTTACAAATCCAGGAATGTCTCATTCATGTTGCTTCTACATATTAAATTATGAAAAAACATCCTAAATTCTAGTAATTAACAAAGCTGAGAAAGAAGTAAATTAAGATTAATTCATGTAATGTTAATGCTTAATTGCTCTACTTGTTATCTTTACAGATAATATATTGATGTAAATGTTAGAATTAAAAGACAATGCTCGAGTTATGGCGACGACCGAGCATAGGATCTGCCAGGTTGCAACACCGAATTATGCATAAAAACTATTTATCTTCTCTCATTTCCTTCTACATATTATATCACCGAAAATAAGAAATGAAAAAATATGAGTATTAAGAATATAGTTATTATTTGCAATTGTTGGAACAAAATAGAAACTCGTCAATAGTCCGGTTTATATCGCCATTGATCACATACCAGAACTGCAAACAACTTGTAGAACACTGCGCACAATAAATATTTTAACCTACTGCTTGATTGAGATTTCTCTACAGTTTAAATAAATATTCCGACTATAATGTTATATTTTAACCTGTTTTGTATACTAATTTTACAAAATATTACACGCTCACAAAAAATATAGGTATATAGACTGTAATTTGTACATAACCATTTTAAAACACATTTTTAGAATGATATTGATATTTATTTATATTAAATAAATTTTTATGCACTCAAAAACAGGATAAACATAGGATATGGAATTAGCTTAAAATTCGTTACGCTATTTCATATAATTATGAATTAGTACCTTTGCACTCATCTAATGAAAATGTTTGTCCACAAAAAACCGATATGACTAAAGCTGTCAAAACGAATTCATGAAAAAGTTTGTGTCTCTGTTTGTATACATATAAATTTACGGCACTCAAATAAATTCGATTAACGAGATATCGCTGTGATCGCAATAGGGCTGATGGATATTTACAAAGAGTAATTCAAGAAATTGTAAATTACAAGGGAAAAATTTACGCCATGTAATTGTGAGTCAATCACAATTAGTTGACATAAATCAAAGAGTGATATGATTTGATATAAGTAGAATACGTGGAGGGTGTGGTGCTATGGAGTGATTAAAACTTGTAGTTGTGAGTAGCGGAATGGGCGCGGACGGCGCAGACGCGGCGCGGACAGGAATAGGCGGCTAAAAATATGTACACGCCGCTGACTCACAGCCACGCGGAAGCCGGCGAAAAGCTCTATAAATTCTCTCCAATAAATTCTATATATATTCTATACCCATACGCAAAATAGGAAGTCCGCGATTTATCCGTTTTAGTTATTTTTTCGTCGTCATTAGAACTTTGTTTCTAAGTATACTTCGTTTATCTGCTTATATATTTGAAAGGGCTTAATATAGAATTTATATAGAATAACTATTATCAGTTTATCTAGATACAGTATTATCATATTTAAGAAAAATCGACAAATAATCTTTGTCTACTTTTAGGAACATAATCAATCTTAGCGCGTTGATGTCTTTTTCTTGAAAGGGACATATAATGCTGTAAAGCTCTTACGTAAAATTTATGCATATTTTTTTAAGACACACAATTTAAATTAATGTTAAGTTTAAGTGGTATTTTTCATATTTTTTGAATTCAAATTGCGTATAATATGAAACAATATGAGAGGGTTTCGTAAATAATTACGTTGCAAAAATTTCAAATTGAAGATGAATTACGTCACATACTCAAGTATAGGTTGTCAGCAAGTCGTTAAATGTCCTTCTCGGGGGTCCAGTGTTACTGAAATTGGAATTAGTTTCGAAAACGGCGTTACGAAACACAAACGAGTATCGATCGCGCCGCACGAGTCGGCGGCTTACTTCCAAGTGTTACTTTGGCTTTAATTGACTGCGAACAGGTTGTCACGTCGCACCGAAGCTTTAATATTTTTTTATCTTTTCGGTATCACTTTGTGTTTTTTATATCGTACTCGTAAAATGTTAAGAGAAAAGATATTTATAAATAAAATCATTCATATCGAGAACGGAAGAACATATGAACAAAAGGTTTATGTATTTAAATGCCTGTAGTTTAAAAATACACATTTTCTTTGTATTATTTTTTGATATAAGTATGTAAAGGCCTTCAAGCATTGAATCTTATGGTTTCCTTATCGCAAAAAATAAATAGAATAGATTACTCTTGCTCAAGAGGAAAAATTATTTTTTGACCCCAAATTCATTGCTATTTTAAGATTTATGAACGTATTTGAAGCGACACTGCGACAATGTAACAAAACACATGAATATATTTTATTAACAAAGTACTCACTAATATAACACGGAATTCGTGTTATATTAGTGAGTACGTTACGGTTGAGGTGAGATAACTCGATGCAGAAGCGCGACACGAGACCGCGTGGCGGCGCCGAATGTCCGCGCTTGTAAATTCCAATCGATCGACTTTTATGCACAACACTTGATCTTGAAATTTTCTTACGTAATTTATTCTGAGTTTTTGCATAACCACAGGTTATTTCAACAGTTCATTTAATTTTTAATACATAAGGGAGTCAAGGGATAAGTTTGAAATACCACTGGAAGGGTAATGTAAAGTAAACAGATTAAATACTAAACATTCGAAACAATGGAAACGTTTTAAAACTATGGATATATTTAGTAATGAAATACGGGGAATAATCGAATCGATAAATTAAATTTTTATGTTTTTTATGCATAATGCATTACTGCATCGAGGCCCACCCTGGGCTTGGTCGGCACCGTTATAGGCTCATTGTCTTTTCATTGCCGACTTCCCAGAACATTCGACTACTCGTTTGTACCGTTTACCGAACGCAACCCAGTGCGTCCAGTAATTCCAAAATGCATTTATTACATTATATTTTTTATGTTTGTTTAAGTATCACGTTATTTTGTAATCGCTTAAAAACAACTAACTTTCTTTATCAACGGTTTCATAAATGTTATATCTTAAATAAACATTTAGAGGGCTTCTTTTTTTAAAGGCCACAGTTTTACAAAAACTTTAATAATTTATTTATATGTTCGCGTAATGTAAAAATGTATTTTACATTTATAAACTTGCAGTTTTTATAATTCTTAATTATTTTTGTTAACAACATTACAATATGTAGGATTAAAATAGTATAGGTGTAGGTGTTAGTATGGATTTAATAACATCTAGTTTTTTACCAAGACGAATTTTGTGCATAAAGTTATGTAACTCTGTATAGTAATAGGCTTTTGTTAAAGTAATGAATGCCCAATTTGTACACACCCAGCATCCTTGGCATTAATGTCGGTGTTTTTGAAGCAACCATGAAGTTTGGCCGCAGAGCTGTTAGCGCTTTACAAACATTCACAAAAACTGATAATATAATTTTATCTTACAAAAGATTCTGTGTTTTAACAGTCAGGAAATTAATTTTATTAAGTTTAACTATAGAGTATGCTCTCGAGATAAAATCTAAATTTGAATCTAAACTGTTATTATTTCTTTCTTATAAGTATGTAATGCTTAGATAATGGGTGGTTATATTTGACTATATGTAGATGTTTGTTGTAATATCAACAAAGATATCTTTTAAGAACATGTGCAACTAGATTGTAGCGTTTCGAGTGCTTGCTTAATCTTATCGATTTTTGTACTATATTTGAACGTTTTAAAGTACATAACGTTATTACATAAAAATTCATAGGTATCTAAGATTTCGTGGCACATTTTTTTGGGTTATTGAATGATAAAGCCATAAGTTAGTATAACTCAAGCTTTAAGACTTTATGGAAATAATAAAATTATGATGTTAAATGTTATCTCCACGTTAACGTTTTAGTTACCATTTTTTAGGAAAAATGATATATAAATATCTTATTATCGAAGAATGTAACTAGTTTTGTCGTAAAGCGATACCCATGTTTATTCGAAGTACAGTCGTGAATGATATACCTAGTGGCACCAATTCCTACACCAGTGCGCGTATTTAAGCAACTAGAAGTTAAGATGCGATAAAATTCTGACGCTTGATAATGAGCATGTTTTTATAGTACAGGGTGACAAACGAGCACACAGCCTACCTGGTGTTAAGTGGATGCTGTGGCCAATAGTCATCTACATTTATCCTTGATCAAGAGTCAAAATGCAGATGCGTTGTCACCCCTAAGGACTAAGATGGAATGCCTCGTATCCAGTAAAAAGGGTCTCCGGTTCTCTACAATCACCATACGAAACATAGCAGCATTGAGCTGCTATTCCACGCTGGTATTCTGTGAGAGCGTACCCCGATCGAGCCGACCCATTCGTGCTACAGCCATAATGTAGCTGCAGTGCAGCGTGGCTCTACCACGTCAAATACTCAATTTTAAATAAATTAGGAATCAAAGAAAAATAAACCAAAAGCAAAAACTAAGTATAGGTAAATAAAAATCTATTATGTTTAAATTATACAAACTAAATAAAAAAAAATAGATTAGAATATTGGTCATTAATAGTGCAGGGAGCAACCACATGAGCAGTTAGAAGCGATTAAAGATACGAACGTATCTACTTGTACTGTCAGGTGTAACCGATCAAGTCGGAAAGTGTTCTATTTCTGGACGGGTTACTCACCGCCTCTCTATTTACTTTGCTAACAGACGTACGTCCCTGCCATTGACCTTGTCGAGGTGATAGAGATTGTTCACTAACAAATGTCTGCATTGTCAATTAGTAATACTGTATTAGCAAAGTACATATTATGTGATCTAATTAAAGTTTGTTTGTTCGTATTTTATGCGCTGCCATGCCGTTCATCAGATTGCGGTAAAACTTTGTCAACTTATTGCTTGCATTTGCGCGAAGGTTATAGCTATAGTACAATTAACATACACTAGATGGTGCGCGTGTCGTACCCACATATTTATTTCTAAGTTACATATTTATTAATTTCCATAAATGTATTATCATTCGTAATTAAATAACATAACTCTCCCAAATTTAAAACGATTTTAACAAATACTTCTTTACCAGCTTACTAGCTAGATATGCTAGTATACTATATTAGAATATAGAATGAGCATATTCATAGGATGTTTGTTTTGTGCATTGTAACAGAATCAGGGAGATTAAATTATTGATATCAAGAGATAAGCTTATATTATGGTACGTTATTTTAAATCTAAGTTAATTTTCAATAATCGTGTAGTGGCGGTGTAAGAATATTCGTTATTCCATATCGTTTCGTGGATATCGTAATAGGTGACAGAAGGAAACAGATTAGGAGATGGTTAGCAGCATCTTCCTTATAATGATCAAAAAAACTGCGGTTGCCAACCCACTTGTCAAGCGTTAACTGTGACAAATATTCCTGTGAGGCAATCTGTGGCACAGGCCTCCTGTCCTTAGCAGTGGACTTTCATAGGCTATAACAGTAACGGTAAATTTTCGATAAAAAGCTTTGGACATTAAATTTTATAAAATTGTCATATAATGATATTCGTACCTACAAGGGGTGTCATGTTGGCTGCATATATCCTGCCTAGTGACTAAGATGGCGACGTCATGGTGATGAGGATTATCGTCATTATCTGGATTAAGTTGTTGTTGCCATCGACAAAAAGACACAAGAGTGGCATCAGCATTTGTTGATACTTCTAATTCTGGTGCTGCTTGCATTTCTTCAACTAGTATGATCTTAACTACAACGACTTTGATATAATTGCCGATAGAGGGATCCATGTACAGCGATGAAACCTAAACAAAAATTTAATAAATAAGTTATAAAACATAAATATTTAATGTAAAGTTAATACAAACAAAATATTGCTTACCATATTCATAATAGTGAGGAGATATGTTTCCAGGCTGCCCTGGTCGTGAAAGTCGGTCATAGATTTGTCAGCGACCAGCAGCACTTCAACGTGACGTGGCCTGCTAACTGAACGTGTGGACCGTCTCATGCTGTTCAAGCTTCTGTCATGTATATGCTGATAAATCATTTTTCGGCGACTGTTCTAAAATAATACGTTACATTTTATAACAAATAACAACAAATATTTGCAAAAAAATAATAGCGACTAGAAATCAGTATAATTATCAAATTATGAAAAATAATCTCCATTTATTTAAAATTTTAGTGTGGAAAGAGTAATAGAAAAGTAAAAAATATTTTTTTTTAAAATTTTTAATGAGTGATGATATGCTGGCTAATAGAGGCGAATGAAGATGAAGTTATTATGCAATGCTGAACCCAAACAACTTAGGATAAGAGGGCTGGAAGAAGAAAAACAATTATTTAATGCTTCTTAGCTTAGCTTATTTTAAGTAGTAAAATTCCTTAAAAAATTAACATACCTTATTATTTCTGTAACTACTTAAGAGTTTTTCATTATGTACTTGTAAATTCTTGGTCTTCCATTGATATGGAGGTTGCTTTGTAGCGCAGTTCTTCGATCTTTTACGCCTTCTTCGTCTATTTCTAACGCGTCGTAGTCTCAATCCTTCCATCACCTTTTCCATACTTTTACTTTTTGCACTGGATTCATAAGAGTTACTGGCTTCTACCGAGTTACTCCTTGAAGTTGATTGTAATCGTCTTTGCTCCATTCGTAACCTTGCTTGATGCCTTCTGTATTCAGTCGGGTTACGGCGCATGGCTTCAAGTCGTTTTCGTCTCTCTTCCAAATATTCTCGTCTGCGTTGATCCTTAGCCTCTTTGCTACTGCGACTTCTATTCAAGTTTGAGTATCGTTTGGAATTTATAGTGCTTTCTTTTTTATTATTGTATCTAGAGTAAGAAATATTGGGATTCTTTCTGCTATCGATTTCTCTCTTCGCTCGATGAAATGCCTTAACTTTGTCTACAGCGGAACGCTTAAATATTACGTGTGGTCGCCCCGCGGAATTATCAGTGGGAACTTGATTGGATGGCTCGATCCAGTATTCTCCGTGCTCTGTCCGTAATAGGCCCGCCTGTTAGAAATAGAAAAGACAAGATGAAATTGTGTACTTAGATCTAATTATTTCTAGAAATAATAAAAAAATAAACAGGTGACAAATTTTGTGTGTACGTACATAAGTATAAGGAAGGCATAAGAATAAAAAATAATCAAATATTTCTTTAAATATTGTTAAGGCAAATTTAATGAAATAAATTTAAATTATAAACTAAAAATAAAATTCGATTTTAAAATAGATAAATATGCATTGTCCGCCTTACTTGCTTAATTGCATTGTGCCAGTAATTTATGTAACTAAAATTTAAATAATAAAGAAGACTTGTGCTTTGCTGTACAAGCAAGGCAGACATACTTGTATGGTATGCATGGTAGGTGTTTTGTGATGATTGTGAGACTATCCCAGCGAGAATATTTCGTTGGAAGCTGAGTTACAGAAACAGTGAATTATTTCATTAGTACGAAGTGTGCAGTAGATTTATTTCATAATCTCTATTATGACCATGATCAGGCCCATGTTCTAGATATTTCGACTAAGGAATCTAGTGACTGGTTACGCTTAACCATTAAGTAATCGCTGCACGTTACTTGATGTGGAAAGCTCGCGCATAGGTATGAGTGGCGATCTGTAAATTTCATCAGTGTCCTAGTGGTAGCGGCATCGACGGGTTTTGACTGCAGCTAGCTAGAGGCTAAAAGGTTGTCTTGTCTGTTGTTATTTTACAGATTCTAAATGTATAAAGTTTTTATGTACAAAGCGTTTTGAAGTAGGTATTGTTATAATCTTACGAACCTTACATAACTTCCATAGATAATATTGAATAAATATAATTAAAATGTATACAGGGAATATATCACTGTACCCTACATAAAGCAGTAAGTCATATAAAATATAAAGTAATCGTACATGTTATCGTAAGTGGGTGCGTACCTACGAAGCTTAAAATCTTTAAGAAGGTTTTACTCGTTTTTACATTTACCTTTATTAGATTCAATAATATTTATTCTTGTTCTAGCGATGTGTATTAGGCAAATTTTAACAAAGTAAGTACCTGTAATTGGAGGTAAAAGTGAAGTAAACTTACAGCTTTTATACGTTTCATTACTGCTATAGTCCTCTTGTTACTTCTTAGAACGTTTAAGGCTAAGAATTCACGGAGTAATTTTCGTTCATTATCCGTCGCGGTAGGCAAACTGTTATGTTATTTCAAAACTCAAGATATTAGTTTTGTGTGGATTCGTGTACGTCACGGATGCGGTGACGTCCGCAAACCAGGTGGGAGATGACAGCAAGTCCGGCAAGCATAGGGCGCGTTATTTGCGTTCGATCGATTACCAAATAAAGTTGCAGGTCGTGCCAGGCCATACACCCGCGGTTCTCATAGTTTACGACCGTGTAGTTGACTGTGGCCTGCGCAATCCTAACTCGTGACCCACAGCGGCAGCACCAAACAACTACGTGTGTCATAACATAAATTACGTAGTGTAAATTATGATAGTCTTACACCTACATACATATCTTATATTCTATGTGTGTCGCGTTCTCGCTGCCGCTGAGATGGCCTTAGGCTAAAGACATGCCCGCTGTCCCATTCCGTTTTGGTGGACTTGACATGTCTTCGAAATATTTTTATTTCTCAGTCATGTAGGTCATGTAGGTAGGAACTGTATACGCAACTTGTCGTCGCTGCTGTGATGAGGTTTGGTTCTTTTCTCGCTCAAAAATTTAAAAAGGAAACGTAGCTTAGCGTTCTTGGCACTATAATGCGGTATACCGTGGGGAATGAGACTTCAGTATGTTATTTTATCGCCGAGCACGTGGAAAATCAGCACTCAAAACTGCATTTAATAATTTCATTGGTACCGGTGGTGGTCGAACCCGGTGGCGCACGTGACATTTAATCAGATTATTGACATTAAGAAATGTAAACTACGGAGCTTCATCTTCTTCATTCTTATTATGTATTATCTTTTCGTTAAAATATTACCTACCTTATATATATATATATATAACACCATAAAAATATAAAATTAATTTTGTACTATATTTATTTTTGTCATTTGGTTTTGGTCCATGAAAACCGCGCGATGGAGTGACTGTAGTGATCGGATTAAGTTGTCATCGTAGTCGTGGAAATTAGCATTTAAAACATTATCATTAATACGTTTCAATCATTGTTCGTTAACTTACGTTGCTGTTTATAGAAATAAATTTTTCATTATTTTTTTATTTTTATCTTTTTATAGAACAGCGGCAAAACAAACAAGAGGCTCATATGAAGTGACCACCGCCGCATATAAACAACTGCAATACCAGAGCAATCGCAATTAGGTTGTCAGCCTTGGAGGAAGGAGTAGAATTTCTTCTTGAAGGTCCTTGAGTCAGTTCGGAAAATGGGCTAGTGATAGTAGATTCCACAGGCGCTAAAATTCTGATAACTCACATTGTAGTCAACCACCAAGCTTCCAGATGGTGTTGATGGTAATAAGAATTTCCTACTTAAATATTGAATTTTAGGGAGAACTGACTTTACTGCTACTTAATGATATTATAAATAGTATTTATAGTATCATTAAGGCAGTTACCTCGGACAAAGAATTAGTCTAGCTATTCAACGGGGAAACGCTGCCAGTATCTTCGGAACCTTGCCTAAAGGACCTCTTTTTTAATAATTTAATTTAGTTATTATAATATATATTTTTAAGGTTTTTAGTATTAGTATTAATTGTAAATATTATAATTTAATTTCATTAATTATACTTATATTTGTTTCTTCATATTTAATATTATGTTTCACATTTGTACTAACATTATTTAATAGTAGCCTGTTAACTCAAATGTTGTAGTCTAGATGCTTGAAAGGGAATGTATGCTGTTAATAACCAAAAGAAAATTTTTTGTTTGTTATTGAAAAATAAATAAAATCTTATTAATAAATAAGTACAACGAAGACTTTGCGGCAGTAAAAATGTAATCAAGACACAAAGTTTTATATTTTTTATTTTATTTTAATTTATTATCAGCTGTTCGAGCCGTGGTAGCTTACGGGCTAAGCGCTCGCTGTTTTCACATTATGCGAGCACCCCGGGTTCGATCCCCGCCGCCACCAATAAAATTGTTATTTCACTCAAATCAGTGGAAGTACACTCGCGATTCTGACACACACGGTGTTAAAATCAATGGTGTCGCCTTACGAAAACTGCCTGACCTTACTTAACCGTATATCTAAACTTTAAATAAAATTAGAAAGATACAAGGGAATAGCAGGGAATAGAGTGAAATGGGGCACTACACTCTATTATGAAGAACCAGAATGTGTCAAAACAGGCACGTATGGTAATTCATAATGCTGTGTTAGTCCCTACGTTAATGTATGGTAGTGAAAGCTGGGTGTGGCAGAAGAAGCACGAAAGTAGAATAAATGCTGTAGAAATGCGTTCTTTAAGAAATATGCTAGGGTTTAATCTGAATGACAGGGTGAGAAATTGCGTGATAAGAGATAAATGTGGTATGCAAGATGATGTTGTGACCAGGATTAAGAAAGGAATGCTTCGGTGGTTTGGTCACGTAGAAAGAATGAATGATGAAAGAATGACAAAGCAAATTTATATGGCAGATGTGAACGGCCGAGTCGGGAAGGGACGCCCTAGAAAAAAGTTTGTCGACCAAATTGGCGATATTTTGAAAATAGGCCACGTTAGAAGTACCCTTAACCGACGAGCATGTATGCGTAGATATATGGATGTAAAGGAGGCGAAAGAGGTATGTCAGGATCGTGCCAAATGGAAGTCCGTAATCTCTGCCTACCCCTCTGGGTGACAGGCGTGAGTGTTTATGTATGTTTTTTATTATTACAAGGAAATACGAATATGATGCAAATATTTTTATGCACCATACTCAGAATGCATTGTGAGGTTATCTTTGAACATTCGGGAATAATATAGCCCACAATCCAATGAAGCTGTAAAAGTCTCCTGGTACAAACACACCGAAAACAAGCTTGAGATAAATTCGTAGTTCAGGCACTTTAATTTTAAATTGAAGAAAAACAGCATCATATTATTGCAGAAGAATTGCTAAGAGAAGTTTACAGGCGGTAGAGCCACGCTGCAGCTATATTATGGTTGTAACACGAATGGGTCGGCTCGACCGGGGTAGGTCCACACCCTCACAGAGTACCAGCGTAAAATAAGAGATTAATACTGCTGTGTTTAGTATGGTGAGTGTGTGAGATCCGGAGACCCTTTTTTACTGGAAACGAGGCATTACATCCTAGTCCTCAGGGGTGACACGTATCTGCGTTTTGATTCTTAATCGAGGATAAATGTAGATGTCTATGGGCCATACTGAGAAAATCTGATGGTAAATTTCTTCTGAATGTACTGCAGCTAACATTTTGCTGAGAAGGCTGCAGATGCGCTGTATCTTCTGAGGACTAAGATGAAATCAGAGTACCCATTACAACTGCTTAACATAGGCCTACCCTGAGGTATGCTATAAACTATGGTCCTGCGCCATCTGCATCCATCTACTTCCTGTATCTTCCATCAGGCCGTTACTCTGTGGCGGCGCTGTCGTCGCGCCACAAGCGAAACACACCGAAGCCTAAATCGCGCTACCGAAATTCCGAATCATAAACAGTATATATAGAACATCTCCGAACTATCACACGGAGTGTTGGCCGCTCCCCGGGCAGAACACCTTGCCCGGCGGGAGATCTCCCCTTTTCCTTCAACGGCCATAGTGGTGACCCCGACGTGATCTCAACACGCAACCAACCTTCGGAAACTTCATCATCGTCCTAGAATACCCCATCCATTCGCTCCCGAGCAGATATCGTCTGCAGTCTTCATATCCTGCAAGCCAGCTAGCTTCACAAGGTTCATCGCAGCACTGGGATAATAATGCTTCCTGTTCCTTCAAGCTACTCTCTGCGCTATACAGTGTTCGGCACAGCTCTGAGCCTTACTGCTCGCCTCTGCTTCACGGTACTCTCGCAGATTATTTGCCTTCTTCTCTACTCACCGCAGACTACAAGGCAATCTCCTGGCACTTACACATTCGTCGGCAACGAGGCTGCACTATCGACCTCCGGTCTGAGCAGGGGGGTGATGTGGCGGCGCTGTAGTCGCGCCACAAGCGAAACACACCGAAGCCTAAATCGCGCTACCAAAATTCCGAATCATAAACAGTATATATAGAACATCTCCGAACTATCACACGGAGTGTTGGTCGCTCCTCGGGCAGAACACCTTGCCCGGCGAGAGATTCTCCCCTTTTCCTTCAACGGCCACAGTGGAGTGGTGACCAAGACGTGTTGGCCCCACAACTCCGTCTAGTAGAACACCACCCTACATTTGTTTTACCGGCACGAGACTGCCACTCGGGGATCTTTCATCTCCATCGATTGTCGGTTATTCGAGTTATATGGCCGCACCCATTGCCAAGTCAACTTATTAACACGTTGGACTATGTCGATTACTACTGCGGATATTAACATTTCAAAGTCAATCACACAGAAAACTCATCCCTTCGCAGCACCCATGTTCATTATACCTATTCGTTGTGTGATACTATTGAGGTCATTGAGCTGAGGTCCTACAACGATTCTGCCACATTGACTGCAAATCGAAGGTGAGTAATGTACTCGCAATTGATGTTTATATTATATTTTTCGGGGAAATAACGTTACTTTGTATTACACCGCTCTGCAGTTGGAAAAATTTCGTAGTCTGGTTCTGTACTCGGCCATCGAAGCCCTACTTTACCAACACATCAGCACCGCCCAAACTTCGATGAAATCAAAGGCTTTCTCATAGTTCACATACGCAGGATAAAGTCGGACTCAGTCTTCTGTATCTGTATAATTTGCCGAGGATATTATTATGTATGTGGTCTATGATACTAAAGCCTTTTCAGTAGTCATCAATTATGCGTGGGAGACGATAAAAACTCTTCAATAGAGTATTGTCGACTGTCCGTAAGAACAAGACCAGTTCTTCTTCGGCTCCACGTCTCCATAAAGGATGAAATTGAAAAATTTCTGATGAACTTTAAGTAACAGTTTCCACCTGTCTTCCGAAACTCCGTTGTAATTCCATCTTTGCACAGAGCCTTGCCGTCTTCAAGGTGCTGGAGAGTAGCACATTAAACTAAAGATTGCAAGGCCCCGATCTACCCAAACACGCTCTGATGTCCGGGATATGATCAGAATAATATCGTAGCCAATCCTCGGCAGAGCTGACCTATTTCAGCTGCAGCTGCAATACTCTAGTTTTAAGTATATTAACATTTAATAGTATTTATCTTGTTTGGTAAAGAATAACGTATAATATGTGGTATACGAATAAAAAAGATATGAAGATTTACTAAACTAAACTAATTGGAGCATGCCACCAGACCAAAAGCGGGCAATAATTAAAAATTAAATCTGATAGGTATTTAATAATATTTAAAACATCACACCAACAAAGAAAACTAAACGGAGCGCTGCGTACATTTCAGGTGAAGGCGGAACCAAGCCAGCTGAAACCATGCTTAATTTATTTTCAGTTCACGCACTCACACACTCATATACGCAAAGCCGTCTTAGGCCATACCGGGGCCCTTGGGCACACAAGAATTTGGGGCCCTGTTTGAAAGTAAAAAAAGTGAATGACAAAAACATTTTTCTGCTATGATCTTATGTTTATTACAGTTAATTGGTAAAATTAAATAATTTGTCATTAATGAGGGCATCCATGACTTTTTCTGCCACCAGGGCGGCGACACTTTATAATGTGAATGTAAACTTTAATGTTTCTTTCCGTATCATTAGTTATATTTTATAATTAATTAGATTGGAAACGAATAAACCAGACTATAAAAATATAACTGAAAGTAGAAATTTTTTAAAAAAGAGTTACAAAGTTCAAAAATTAAAAATCAAACCTTGTGTTGTGTATTAATTTCATACTCTAGATAATGATAAACTATTATATAAAACAATATATCGGCCTTTTAAAACGGGGGCCCCCGTAACAATGGGGACCCTGGGCCTTATAGTAAAGACGGTACTGCATATACGTCTAAAATCACTTGCAACCCACAACATAGTTTTAGGTGCATGAGTGGGCCCAGCATTGGAGTTTTACGGACTGTGAAAGAAACAAAACAAATGTGAGCAAGAGTATCAAGAACTCAAGTGGGGTTTCGCCGTCACTAAATTGAAACGAATTAATGATTGATATACAACACGATATTGAAATGTCTATGAGTCATTACTTTGCTCAAATAGAACTGTGATGTTTAATTTATTGAATTAATAACAATCAAATTGTACTTTTTTATTCATTATAATTATATTGCAAAAAAACGGCCATCATCCTTCAACCTTGACTCAATCTTTTTATCTTTGTAACATTTCAATTAGTCGACCTCATCTCGAACTGTAATGCAATGTTATTTTAATCGCGAACATGTAGGTACTTCATGCCAAATATACATGAGCCTTGCAGTTTAAGCTTTTCAATGTTTCCAATCAATGGTTAAAGTTGGTTCAAAATTTATATAATGAAGTCCATTAAATAATTAATGTAATTTAATATACTAACGTAAAGATTACAAGTATCTTTGTACTATATAAATATAACGTTCTTCAAATTAGTTATGAATATTGAATATGTATTCAGTGAATCATGTTAAAAAGTTGATCTATCGTACGATAAAGCAAACACGTTTTTACTCGAAGATGTTTATGAATTTGAATGTATTAATGCTTTTAAAGTGATTAAAAGATCAGAAAAAATTATTTTCCATTCATAATTTAAACACGGCAGATAGTTTACAATAAATGAGAGTGCAGAAAATACTGGTAAAGGAAAAAATCAAAATATACTACTTCATTGTATTTTATTAATGTAAATTAATGTCATATATTATTTAAGCCATTAATCAGCTAATCCACTATTCGAAATATAAGGTCTCTGTAGATAAAAAATGTAATAAAATTGAAAATAAAAATAATTAATACTGAAATATAAACTAAAAATAAAGGAAGATACTTTAATATTGAATAGCGGTCAATTAGTTTCATAACGCGGTATAACTATTTTCAAAATAAATTTAGAAAAGGGTGATTGAACCATTGAATTATATTCACGTAGTAGTAATACCTCAATGGATTGTAAACAACAATAAGGTCTATGCTCAAGAGTGGGAGCTTGAACTTACTCAGGAAAAACAAAACTTTCCTCTTATTTCACTCAAAAGATAAAATTCAGTCACCTCTAAATTAATCACTACGTTAAACATTTTTTGCGAGACTAAAAGCTATTTTAGATCTTTGAAGTTACAGTGTAATTATTTAGATCGCATTGTAGTAAGGTACTTATACTTTATAAGAAGTAGTAATCATTAATTTAGACTTTGAAAATTTGACCTTGTTCCTTTGCAATCATGTTCATGTCTTCTTTAATTTATTACGCATAGAATAACAGACAATAAAACTGGCGGTTCTCATCTATACATATTTTTTTACTGCGCTTTATTAATGTTTTATGTTAGCACTCTAATACTGGTTTATGGATATATCAGGTATAGATCATTAGATGTATTCTCGAGTTCGTCTTTCTTTAGTACCTAGTATCTGATGGATTTTTAATTTTACAATTCAAAAAAAAAAGTAAAGTTACAGCCTACATACGTCCCACTGCTGGGCACAGCCCTCCCCTCATTTCTGAGAGGGTTTTAGGGCAAGGAAGTGTCGGCCGCGCTGCCCCAATGCGTGTTGGCGAACTTCACATGTCTTCGAAATATTTTTTTTCTTATTACTCAGACATGCAGGTTTCCTCACGATGTTTTCCTACACCGCCGAGCACGTGGTAAATCAGCACTTAAAATTGCAATTAACAATTTCATTGGTGCCGACGAGGATCGAACCCGGGTTACTCGCGTTCTGTTATATTTACAGCGAGCGTTAACCATCTGAGCTACCACGGCTTACAATTCAAACCAACAAATATAGACTGTGCGCTGTGTACATTACATTTGGAAACGTAACTAAGCCAAACCATGCTCATTTTTTAAATCTTTTATAAGAATACGCATTCTGCTCACACATCATCATTCACAAAGCGCGGTCCCTGAGTCACCTGCGTCAGTTGCATCATTGACTTCCTGCATGTTTTACCAGGTCGTCACCCCATCTAGCGGGAGGCCGCCCCACATTTCGGCTACCGATACGAGGCTGCCACTTTCCCATCGGTTGTCGGTTCTTCGAGCTATATGGGCGACTCGTTGCCACATATATGCGTCTTAAATTGCAACCAACAACATGGAAAGATTTATACGTGAGTGCCGCATTTGTGTGGTTGTGTCACAACGGGTAGTGTGCCCGTCCGAGTTCTGGGGTTACTCTAGTGTGCTATGTAGCATACTTAAAACTATGTAATATCGTAAATCTTAAATACTAGTATTTTCCTCTCCCCAAAAAGAATGCCTGGCGCAGAAAAAACACATTATTTCTTAACAAATATATACGTATAACTACAACAATTTTGAATCAGACCGCTCTATCTCTTAAAAAATAACTGCTATAATACAAATTATTTTGAAATAATCATCGCTCAGCCGTAACCAAGCACTCATTGATTTTTTTATAATATTCCATTTTCTAATTTTCCATTAGGTCTAAATACAAATTATTATGATTTTATCTAAAAACATACTAAATTACCATTTAAACTTTCATCCTCTATTATTAACTTATGTAATTTTTCAGTGTTTGAAATAAGAGTTTTTATAAATTTATATTCTATGACCTTTTGAGCAGTGTACCCTATTTAGCAGGGGCCCTAAAAACTAAGGTTTTAATTAAAGCAGATTATTTTGTGATTTTTCATAAAGGATTTTGTTTACAATCTCATGATTTATAGTTGTACTCACCAATCCATCACAAGCGGAAATAGCAATACTGGATGTCGGTTGACCTCGGACGGAACCCGTGTAGTGACATGAGGTTGAAGAAGGCTGTGGCCTCTGTCGCGTGCGTCCACTCGCGCCATGACGCTCCACTATCATCGCTGGTGTTATGAATGTTACCGATGGCCTGCACAAATAAAACATTAATTAATTAAATCTATTAATAAGTATTATAGAGTATAGAGCCATTGGACTTGTGGAGTGAAATATTTCTGCCGATAAAATTATATTATTAGCACCGCTTTTTCATCAGCCATACTGGGCCTTTTTTTGCTCACTTTGATTTGGCATAACCACTTTACCTAGTGCTTAACTTAACCACTTTACCTAGTACTTAACTTAACCACTTTACCTAGTACTTAACTTAACCACTTTACCTAGTGGTCAAGTACGGTAGGCCTCGCGTCTGGGACAGCTTTCGTCTGCTGTGCAACTTGTGCTGGCGGACGGGAGATGTCCCGGATGATTGGCGATCCGCGGTCATTGTGCCTTTATATAAAGGTAAAGGTTCACATTTTGACTGCGGGTGCTATCGGGCGATCAGCTTGACCAGTTTAGCAAGTAAAGTTTACTCGAAGGTTTTGGCATGTAGGATGCAAGAGAAATCGGAAAGATTCTTATGGGAGGCACAATGCGGATTTAGACCTGGAAGAGGATGCACGGATCAAATGTTTTCTCTCCGCATGATCACGGAAAAGCTTCTGAGTGTTAACCAGAGGATTTTCTGTGTTTTTGTGGATCTGGAGAAAGCATTTGATAAGGTTATAAGGAAGAAAATGTGGGAACTGTTGCCGGGATATGGTGTGGATGGTCGATTGCTAAGGGCTGTGCAGTCACTTTACTATGACTGTAAAGCCTGTGTGCGGGTAGGGCATGACCTGTCACCCATGTTTAGCGTCCAAGCGGGCGTAAAACAGGGTTGTGTCATGTCTTCCTGGCTGTTCATACTGTATCTCGACAGCTGTTTACAGAAGCTGAAAAATAGCTGTTTGGGTGTGAAATTGGGTGACATTAAAGTAAATTGTCTGCTGTATGCTGATGATGCAGTGCTTATTGCACCATCAGAAGCAGAACTGCAGGCATTAGTCACGTGTATGAAAGAGGAATGTGAAATTAAACGTTTGAATGCTAATAAAACTAAGGTTCTGGTATTTGAAAAGGACGAAGAGAGAACGAAATGTGAAATATGGGTAAATCAGGAACGTCTAGAACGGGTAAATGAAATTGTATACTTGGGGAGTGCTTTCAGGCGGGATGAAAGATGTGATTTAGATGTGGATAGGCGCGTCGCTGCCGGAAACAAAGTGAATGGTGCCCTGAACGCATTAGTCAAAAGGTAAGGCGTGGTGAAGAGTGCACGCCTTGAAATACATAACGCAGTGTTGGTACCGACTTTGTTATATGGCAGCGAAACCTAGGTATGCCAGAAGAAGCATAAAAGCAAGTTGAATGCAGTGGAGATGCGATCTCTTCGTAAAATGTGTGGCGTTACCATAGCCGATCGAAAGCGAAACGAAGAGATTCGCAATATGGCAGGATTGAAAGATGACCTTATCACAAAAATTGATAGGGGCGTACTCCAATGGTTTGGGCACGTTGAGCGAATGAGTGAAGACCGAATGGTGAAGAAAATATATAGAGCGAAAGTAAATATTAAAAGGTGTCGAGGTAGACCGAGACTAACTTTCGAAGATCATGTGAGCAAATTGCTCGAAGAGGGGAAGGTCAAGAGTACTCGGATACCTAGACGTGCATGTATGAAGAAGTTAATGAACCTGAAAGAAGCGAAAGAGTTATGTAAGGATCGTGACACTTGGCGATCTGTTCTCTCTGGCTACCCCGTTATAAATTGTGCGTGAAGATAAGTAAGTAAGTAAGTACCTAGTGTTTAACTTAACCACCTTACCTAGTACTTAACTTAACCATTGAAATAATACTAGTTTTTACGGACACTCATGGTCGCGGGCGGGACTGAGATGTTCAACGTCCATATGTCATAGTTAACCGCGGTTACCATAGATTAAAATTTAACTTTTGTTCCGATCTATGCAGTATGAACTTATGGTATCTTGAAGTCTTGCAGTTGTATGCTTGGGTTGGGATTTAATTTTATTTATTATAGGATCCCAAGCAGATGGTAGCACCCAGCCATCTTCTCTATTGAAATTAGGATGTTTTTTGATTTCAATAGCCTCGCGAATCATCCTTGGAAGGAATCGGTGTTCTTTAGCGAGGATTTGCGGTCTATCAAATCTGATGTAGTGACGGGGGCGATCCTGTACGTGTTCACAGACTGCAGACTTCCCGGAGCGTCGATTCTTCACATCAGCTATATGTTCTTTAACGCGGGTTTTTATTGATCTTTTTAGTTTGTCCTATGTAGGAGAGACCACATTCACAATCAAGTTTGTACACTCCTGCATCTTGCAGAGGGACATTACACTTGACTGATGGTAAAAACTGACCAATCTTCTTCAGCGGCTTGAAGTATGTTTTGATGGAAGCGCGCTTCAAGATGTAGCCAATCTTGTCAGTGACTCCTCTAACATATGGCAGTACAGCAGGTATACGCTCGACTGTGGCCGGCTTCACTCGTGATTCAACTCGTGATACGTCACTGTGACGTAGGCGCGGGACTCGAAGCTTGTTGTCATGCAAAACTTGCTTGACATGGTGGAGTTCGGCAGCCAGATGTTTACTGTCACAGATCCCTCGTGCTCTCTGAAACAAAGATTTACCCACGGTAGCTAACTGTGAAGGATGGTGGTGAGAATCACCGTTTAAATATCTATCTGTATGGGTCTTTTTTCTATACATAGTATGGCTCAAGGTGTTATCAGGATTCCGAATTACTAACACATCTAGAAAAGCTAAGGAATTGTTTGCCTCTAACTCCATTGTGAACTGAATTTTAGAATTTATAGAGTTAAGATGGTCTAAAAATGCAGTTACTTTATCTAAAGGTAGAATTGTGAAAGTGTCGTCTACGTACCCCTTGTAGAATCTTGGATTTATGGGAGAACTAAGCAGGGCTTTCTCCTCAAAGTCTTCCATGAATATGTCGGCGACAATGGGATATACAGGTGAGCACATCGCCACACCATCTACTTGCTTGTAGAACTCCTCCTTCCACAATAGGTAGCCAGATGTAAGGCAGTGTCTGAGTAATACTGCATATTCTACGGGCATGTTGTTTTCTTCCAGCCTTCTTTACATAGATCAGTCTTCAACAGGTAAGCATGTTAAACAATGACTGCACATCAAAACTGACCATAGTTTCATTGTCTGCCAGATGTAGGTCTTTAATCTCGCTGACAAAATGGTAGGAATCCTTTATGTGTGCTCTTGTATGTCCCCTGAGTGGTGAGAGTATTTTCGCTAAGTGTTGAGCCAATCTGTAAGTTGGTGAATCGATTTGGCTCACTATGGGACGCAATGGAGCATTGGGCTTGTGTATTTTTGGTAACCCATACAATTTTGGTGATTTGGCGCACGTAGGTATTATCCATTTTACGTCCATATTTAATTTTTCGGAGTGTTTCTTTATGAGGTCACTAGTTGTTTTTAGTGTGCTATTTGTTGGGTCGTTTTTAACCTTTTTATAAGTACTTACATCCGACAAAAGTTCTAAGTTCCAAGCATACAACTGCAAGACTTCAAGATATCATAAGTTCATACTGCATAGATCGGAACAAAAGTTGAATTTTAATCTATGGTAACCGCGGTTAACTATGACATATGGACGTTGAACATCTCGGTCCCGCCCGTGACCATGAGTGCTGTAAAGCGTTCGAAACGTCGGGTATTTAAAAAGTTAAAAAGTTAAACATACGCGATAAATTCCGTAAAAACTAGTATTATTTCAATGTGTAGTGTTCGCGTAAATATAAGAAATCATTAACTTAACCACTTTACCTAGTACTTAACTTAACCACTTTACCTAGTACTTAACTTAACCACTTTACCTAAAAGCCGTGGTAGCTCAGATGGTTAACGCTCGCTGTAAATATAACAGAACGCGAGTAACTCGGGTTAGATCCCCGCCGGCACTAATGAAATAGTTAATTGCAATTTTTAGTGCTGATTTACTACGTGCTCGGCGGTGAAGGAAAAAATCGTGAGGAAAACTGTATGTCTGAGGAATAAGAAAGAAAATATTTCGAATACATGTGAAGTTCGCCAACACGCATTGGGGATGCGCGGTGGACACTTCCTTGCCCTAAAACCCTCTCAGAAATGAGGGGAGGCCTGTGCCCAGCTGTGGGACGTATATAGGCTGTAACTTTACTTTACTTTACCGAGCATGCAGTACCAGACCAGACGTTTCTCATAGCAAATAATGTAAATGCTTGGAATAATTTATGTCGGGCGTAAACGAGATAGTTATAGGGTTATACCGGCATCTATCGTATTCTATGACTTCTTTCTAGCATTACCCACAGTTATTTAATACGATATCTACGGTACGAAATGAGGTGATAGATTCTCTTCGCCGATGGATTCTCCTCAACACACTGTAGATATTAGATGTCTATAAATATTCTAGTACGATATAAGAGTAAGACCTTTGCCTAAAATAGTCATATACATGGCATCGGTATACGGTAAAGCTGTATAGCTTATGTTTATACTGTAAAATACCAATCTACATATTGTAAAATTATTATCAAATAAATAAATTAATAAATAAATAAATAATGAATATATTATCAGAGGTGTTACTATATACTGTAAGTCTAATGACAATATTCCTCTTATGTTTAGTTTAGGGCTATAAAACGAAGTACACCTAGATTAAGCCGGCTTCAACTAAGTGTAGCTGATTGCGGTTGGTGAAACGTCGGTCTACTGTTAAATTTGTAAAAATACGAAAGCACTATAATATTAATCATAGCTGCTTAACCTGGTATCGCTGATATTAGGGGTGAAGATATTTGATCAAACTCAAAATAATAAAATAATCATTGAACAACTACTTCAGAGAAAAAAATTATATGCATAAAATATAGAACCACTTTGTTTTATTTTAAACACGGTCAAAGAGATTTGAAATTTACTAAATACTGAATATATGTTAATTACTGCTAAGTAAGTGATTGCCGTTATCAAAGGGCTCATCCATTCATT